GCTGACATCCCCACTCCGGAGCTGGCTGCGCTGGCACACCACTGCGAGCGCGAGGGTCTGGAGCTGATCATCTCTGCCGACACCAACGCGCACCATGCGCTGTGGGGCAGCAGGAGCAACAACCGGAGAGGTGAGGAATTTGTATCGTTCCTATTGTTAACTAACCTTAACATTATCAACGTGGGCTTGGAGCCGACATTTGTCACATCCAGGGCCCAAACTATAATTGATCTTACATTAGCAAGTGAGCACGCATCGCAACACATATCGAACTGGCATGTTTCGAACGAAGCATCGTGCTCAGACCATCGCTGGATCAAATTTAACTTTGAAATGAAACTTAAACTACCCGATCCCCGACGGAATCCCCGCACGATGGACCGGAAACGGTATGAACATCTTACTGCGGAGAATCTGCGAAGCATCAACCCAACATACGCTACGGGGACTGTTAAGGACATTGACAGTCATGTTGTCAACCTTACACAGACACTGATCGATTGCTTTGAACAAACATGCCCACTTTCCACACCCAGAACTGGACCACAGAACAAACACCAATGGTGGGGTCCGGAACTGGAAAGACTACGTCGTAAAGTGAGAAAGTTGTTCAATAAAGCAAAAACAATATAAGAAAATAATCAGAACCGCGAAAACTGAGTGCTGGAGAAACTTCTGTACTAACATAGAAAACAACAACCAGGCTAATAGAGTCAAAAGCATACTGTGTAGTAGAGGCGATCACAATCTTGGCTCACTGAAGAAGCCTGATGGTGAGTATACCAAAACAGACTCGGAAGCCTCAGAGCTGTTATTAAAAACACACTTCCCTGGATGTCGCATTTCAGATGTGATGGAAAAATGGGAAGACAGATGGGAAAAACCACCAGATGATACAGACTGGGATACGGCCCGCAAAGTTGTCAACCATGACAAACTAAGATGGGCAATTAACAGCTTCCTACCATTCAAGGCGCCAGGACTAGATGGTGTCTTCCCAGGCCTACTGAGATGGTGTGATATGACACTACTGGACCATCTTGTAAAAAATTATAGGGGCTGCCTGGCGCATCAGTACATCCCCTTGAAATGGAGAGAAGTTAGAGTAGTCTTCATCCCCAAACCTGGTAAAGGTGACTACACACAACCCAAATCACACCGACCTATTAGTCTCACATCTTTTCTACTAAAGGTTCTCGAGAGGCTAATAGATAGGGAAATCAGGGAAACTGCGTTAGTCAGTCACCCTCTACACCTCAATCAACACGCATACTCGATGGGTAAATCAACAGAATCTGCCCTACATCGAGTTGTTTCACATATAGAAGACCATCTAAATCACAAAAGGTCAACACTGGCTACCTTTATCGATATCGAGGGAGCCTTTGACAAGACCAACTCCACCAGCATTAGCCAAGCTCTGTCTAGGCATGGTGTTGATTCCACAATCTCAGGGTGGATCGACAGCATGCTAAGATATAGAGCTATTCAATTCACTGTGAGTGAAGTGACTAGAGGAGTGGTGGCTAGAGGTTGCCCCGAGGGCGGTGTACTCTCCCCCCTTCTATGGAACATTGTTGTGGATGAGCTCATCGCACAACTTAATGACCAAAAATTCCTCACAATAGGCTATGCAGACGATCTTACTATTCTCATCAGCGGTCCTTTTGAGAGCATTACATGCGATCAAATGAGACTTGCACTGAAGATCGTGGAACAATGGTGCGTAGCACACAACCTGACAGTGAACCCATCCAAAACAGAGATGATCATGTTCACAAACAAACGCAGCCTAGGAAAGCTCAGACTTCCCAAGCTATTTGGAACACAACTTACTCTTACCAAAGAGGTCAAATACCTAGGAATAATACTGGACAGTAAACTCCTGTGGAATAAGCACCTCGATGAAAAACTGAATAAAGCCTGCATTATTTTCTGCCAATGCAAGCGGCTACTCGGCAAAAGCTGGGGACTATCACCCAAAATCACTTTATGGCTATACAGGACAGTCATAAGACCAATAATCACTTACGGTGCTGTAGTCTGGTGGCAGAGAACAGAGCTTAGCACCGTCATAAACAAACTGCAGCAATTCCAGCGACTCCCATGCTCCGCGGTCACTGGCTGTATGCGCACAACGCCTACTGCCGCACTGGAGGTGGCTCTTGGTCTGCCACCCCTGGATCTATTCATACAGCAGGAGGCCGCCATGGCGATCATTAAACTCAAACACCTGGGTCTATGGCACAAAAGTGAGGGATCGCACTTCAAATTATGGGATCAATTGGTGGAATACGAACCACTGATAGCAGCTCCATGCGATAGAATCCCAAAACACCATATCTTCACAAGAAGATACTACATCCAGATACATGGAAATGACCGAGATCAATCCGGCATTAACGAAGTTCGAATTTACACGGACGGTTCCAAGACTAGGTCAGGAACTGGAGCCGGAGTTTTCTCGCAAGACCTAAATATAAACATATCACTAGCGTTAGGCCAACACAGTTCCATATTTCAATGTGAATGTGTGGCAATAACTTACGCTGCCACAACGGCCATGTCAAGGGGTATCAAGGACTACAACATCCGAATAATATCCGACAGCATGGCCGTCTTAAAGGCACTGGAGGGCAACACAATGACCTCTGGTATTGTCTTCGAATGCCACCAAGCACTGGAACAGCTCGCTATATTCAATGGGGTACTCCTCCAATGGATTAAAGGGCACAGTAACTCACACGGGAACGATGCCGCAGATGAGTTGGCAAGGAGGGGCTCGGCAACCCCAACCTCTGGCCCAACTCCACTCCTGCCCATATCGTTTAACCAAATACGATGCTGGGTCAGGCAACGGACCTGTGAAGCACACAACCGGAGGTGGAAAATCTCACCCGGCTGCAGACAGTCCAAACTGGTGCTGAATCAAGTCACACCACGACTCACCTGCAGACTGATCAGTCTTAGCAGACCGGAACTCAGAATGGTTGTCGGAACTATTACAGGACATCTAGCCCTGAACCGACAACTATTCATAATCAATGTGACGGACAGTCCCCTGTGCAGGGGATGTCTGGAAGCTGAAGAAACGGCCGCCCACGTAGTCCTGGAATGCGAGGGAGTGGCCACACAACGGGCAAGTATCATTCCTGATATAAAGTCGCTCCTAGAAGCCTGTGAACGCCCCAGGAGGCTTCTGCGCTTCTGGAAGGAGCTTGGCTGGGTCACCTAGTCAACCAATCCTCGACGCATAAAGGACCACTCTGAGTCTAAATGCGGAAACCGAAGCCCACAACCAATCCCAATACCAATACGCGTCAAATCATTAGTGAAAAAATTTGTTTACCGATGTCTTGTATGTGCCAAACACAAGGTCACTCAGGCTAGGTCTCAAATCATGGGTGATCTGCCAAAACCAAGAGTCACGCCTGCTCGACCGTTTTTACACTCTGGCGTTGATTTCGCTGGACCTCTACAAATTATCAAAAGCAAAGGTAGAGGAAGCAAAACGCAGAAAGCATATATCTGTATATTGGTATGTATGGCCACTACAGCTATCCACTTGAAATTAGTTGGGGACTTAACAACTGAAGCGTTTATCGGCGCATTCAAAAGATTTTGCGCCCGAAGAGGCAAGTGTGCTCATCTATAAGCTATTAAAATGTTTAGTGTTCACCGTCTTTAGCCGACTTGTGGAACGAAACGTAATACTCCGTTCTGCAACGAGTTGTCATACGTTCAGGAACATTTTATTTTATATAAATTTACGTAAATAATTATATTTTGTACTCATTTAAATAGTTTTCATGCACACATATATTTAAAAGTTTTTATATATGAAATTACTGCATTATTTTCATTACAAGTTATTAAAATTAAAAATAAAATGTGTAGTGTTTACCGTCTTTAGCAGACTAATGGAACGAAACTTAAAAATCCTTTCTGAAACGTCTCAGCGCTGCGGGAAATGCAGCCTCTACGCCCTTGCGTAACAAATCGTAGGCATCCGTCCTCGCCTCTGTTACAGCGGCCGGAGGCTGCTCTCCCTACGCGCCTCCGGTTCTATAAAAACACTCTAGGGGTAGGACAGAGTCGTACCACGCGGTGTCGGGGTCAATCAATTCGGTTCTGTGACATAAATTGAACCTAACCTAATTTATTTGTTATCTGCATTAACAGGCACTGTTATGCTATAATTTATCATATTTAAACTGTTAAATATATGTGTGCATGAAAAATATTGAAATGAGTACAAAATATAATTATTTACGTAAATTTATGTAAAATAAAATGTTACGGAACGTATGATAACTTAACCATAGATGAAACTAAACGTTTCCTGATGTGAATTCTATATAATCTTTGGTAAAGATTGTCATAAAAACTACAATTTTGACAGAAACATCGCAATAATAATTGATTTTCAATATTTTTTTTGCTTAAAAAATATGCGTCTCCGCGTGTTGAAAGTTTTACGTGAGTGCTTATAATAGTGTAACCTTTGTGGAAAAAAAATTTCAAGCCCAAACTCGATGTACAGAAAAGGAAAGTTGAGCCGTGAAGTTATCTATCAAAAATTAAGACTTGGCGTAAAGGTCTTGTTACCAAGCCATAAAAATACAAAAAAAAAAAGCCAGCAAGGACACAATCTGTCACAATTACGTGAAATCACAACTTCATTTGCATTTCTATTATTTGTTTGTTTTCTTACAATACAACTAATAAGCTTTCTAAATGGACTTCGACAATTTTTCTTACCCTACTGACCACGGCCTGAACATGGATCCCGCTCCCGCCTCTCACGATAACTCCTGCTCGAACTTGGACTCAATATCCATTGAAAATAATGACCCCAGCTCTCACACCGGCCAGAGTTCTTCACAGCCCACAGTAACTCTTTCAAGAGGACATTCACGCTGTGTCAATTGTGGTATAAACGTCACACAGATGCAAAGACATTTGTTGGAAATAGAAGAAGTTCGAAATCTAATACAACAATGGGTTCGACCACAGCAGGTAAATAGTTAATCCATGACACTTCTTCCTATTAGAAATGCTTTTTAGCTGAGATGACTTAAAATAATATCAATATCTAATAATAATGGCATCTTTATTATTAGGTACAAGTTTCGAGTGAAAATGTAGTGTGCCACTCGTGTACGATTGCAGCCTGGAATGAAATACGAAATCCAACTAGTGAACAGCAGAATGCACCAATTGTTGGTCATGGACTTGTGTGCATCAGCTGTGGCAGGTCACTTTTGAGAATAAGATCACACTCACTCTATTCTGATTCTCCAGGTGAGGAACTCATAAGGAATGTGATTGTGCAACAGATTGCACCATGTGAGGTAAGTGTATAACAGTTTTTAATTTATGTGTATAAAATGTAGCCTATGTTATTCGCTGGTAATATAACTTTCCATTGGTGAAAGAATTGTGTGATAGTGTAACAAACAAACAATCTCACTTTCACATTTAATATAAAGTATTGGTTATGAATTAGCCGCAAACTAGCTGGTGTGTTCACATCATTGCACTGGAATAAAAGTATATCATGTAAAAGTTTTTTCATGTCAACATAGTTGTTTAGCCCAGTGGGCTGTATTTTTCTAACCATTTATCTAGTTTAATTTGATTTTGTTTACTTCATTTATGGTTTAATTATTGTTTCAGTTGCCATCATCATCTCGTGTGTGTCATGATTGCTGGCGAAGGACTGATAGAGCAGCATCACATTCAACTGTAGACCGGGAAACCTCCGAACCATCTAGTCGGACCGACTAAAACCACACGGTGTGCCACTCTGCGCCTGTAACAGGAGGGATCCGGGAACAGCTGTTATTAAGACATCCGGACCGAGGGGTCTAGCGCCTGCCCGCTCCTGGTGCGGGCTCCGTCTCAAAATTTTAACCTCTCTTTAGGCGACGTCCGGCACACGCGGACGCCGCCCCCTCGCGGCTGGCCAAACTAATGCGGGTGGAGGGGAAACCCACCCCGTCCACCCGCGGCCACACTCAGGGCGGCATGAGGCGCAGGTGAGCGCGCCTCCGCCGCCCGGTAACGATTCCCATCGACTCACTGTTCCATCGATATTGCGAGTACGTCTTTTTTGTGAGTACAATTATTATGTTCCTCCAGAATGTAGAATCTGTGACTACCATTTATATAGTAACTCTTGGGATTTACTTTTAGGATCAATTAATCATCAACAGCCTCTAATAGACCACTGCTGGACATAAGCCTCTCCTTAGAAAGGAGGTTTTGGCCTACTATACCACACTGGCCAGACGGGTTGGTATAGGGTTTGTGCCAAGTTTTCCTTCTCTCTGTCCTGCATAGTTTTTTCCCTTAGTCGGCTCTTACGACACCCACGGGATGAATAGGGGTGGTTACACTCTGTATTCTTAATCCATCACCACACGGACTAATAATCCTATTAAAACATTTAGTGCAGCACAAATTGAAGATTTTGCTACATTATTGAAAGATAATATGCATAGTCATTTAGACTTTGATAATATTCAGAGTATGCCTGACCAAACTCTACATTATTATGTAGGCTTAACAAAAGGCCAATACCAACAAATTCTGTCTCAAGTTCCAAGACTTTCAAATAAACATACGGGTTCTTTTGCTCTTGCTGCTTATTTGATGAAGTTAAGAACAGGAGATAGTATTGCAAGTGCCAAGAAGCACGTACCAAAAAAATTGCCAATGGTACATATATATACATCGAAAAAAGTTCCAATTATTTACATCAAAAGAAAACTTGCTCATTACACAAATATCGCAATCTTGTAAAGCCTTTCCTTTTTGTGTGAACTGATGGTTACGTTATAGATGTTCTTGGCCCTTATCCTGCAACAACCTCAGATGCAGATATCATAAAAAATGAATTTGTTGATAAATCCAGTTCATTAAGGCAATACTTTGAATCTGGAGATGTATTCATCCTAGATAGAGGTTTTAGGGACTCATTGCCTCTTTTAGAGCATTGTGGTTATCAGGTTCATGTGCCTTTGTCTCCAGAAGATGGTGAATCACAGCTAACAACAAGAGACGCTAATAACTCCAGAGCCGTGACTATGTGTCGATGGGTAGTAGAGGTGGTGAATGGCATTTGTAAAACAAGATTTAAAATATTTCGCCAAAACTATTTTAACAGGGCGTCTACACATTTGATGATAGATTTTACTGTGGCTGCTGCCCACCCTAATTAATAAATTCCACACAAAAATAAGGGACAGGGATGATGCAGCTCAAATACTAGAAATAGTTCATCAGAATATGGAAACAAATAATGATTTATCTGAATATGTTAGGGAACACAATCTTAATAGAGCTAGGGCAGACTTTAGAAATATAAATGTAGGCTCCGAAAATGTTAGGGAATTTCCTATTTTAACTTACAAGCGACTTAGTAATAATTGCTTGTGATACATACCAATTAAAGCAAGCTCGCTCCTATTATGGTGAGCATATAAGAGCTAATGGTTGCTACCACATTGAAATATGCAATGACCATAGGAGGAGCAGCATTATGGAAGGAATACACCTTAGTCCTAACTGCTCTTTACTTAGGGCTAGAATCGCAAGTCGACACATCAGTCGAAAAATATATTTTATATATATTTTAATTAGTGGCAATGATTCTGGCAGAAGTGCAATTCAAAAGTATTGTTGTAACTGTATTGTTGGCCGTCGAACGGTAGGATGTTGTGCCCATATAATGACAGTAATATGGTATTTGGGTTGGGCATGACATCAAACAAATATTTTTCCTCCGGCTCAATTCCTGGATGATGTACTAATTGTGTATGACATAAATGATGTATGATCATAAAATACCTAACAACTACATATAACTTGATATTGTATGTGAGAATAACAATAAAATGATGAATAAGAAAAAAAAACTGTAGTTATTTCTGAAAATTAAAATCATTTTATATCTTAAATATCCCGACTTTTTTTAATACCAATTCCTTAATCATTTCATTATTTAAATTGTATATTATCATTTCCATATGCTTTTATATGTGTGCACCTAGGGCCAAAGTGTCTATGGGTAGTGGGCATTCCCCTTTCGTATAATTCAAAATTAAATTCTCAGGTAAATAGCCAGCCAGTTACATATACTCATTCTTCTTCTTTCCAAGAGTAGCCGCGTCCCCTCAGCAGTGGAGTACGCCAACGTGCAGCTGCGACCGAAGCCGGTACCCAACGGCAACAGTCCACACTGCCATCCCATGACCAGGCATCATACGCTCCAGGTACTTATTTGGACTTCCATCTATTCCAACTTTAATTAATAGGTACATATAAATTCATTTTTGACTGATTCATCAACGCAGAGCCTAAACCGCTGGGACTACAAACTAAAAAATGTAACACCTGATGTTATTCATATTGTAAGCACCGACTAAGAAAGGATTTTTGGAAATTACACCTCTAATGGGTGAACGTACGTACGTACGAACGTTGTATGGAAGTTGGTCATTTTCGAAGTTAGAAACAGGAAATAAGAAATAATCACGTGAGCGAATCCGAGGGCAATAGCTAGTAATATCGTATATACAATGTGTTACCAGACTTATGCCGAAGACTTAAATTACAGATAACACAGTTCAATATAAGTCGGTTAAAATTTAAAAAAAAATACAAAATAAAAAAATGCAAATTTAGAACAAAATAAATACAACAAAATAATGCCGAATTGGAGCACCATTGATAACACGGGTCACTCACCTGTAGACGACGCGACGGCAGCGATGCAAAAATGGCGGCAACATCAAAATGAGCCTTGTGACGCGACGACGCGACGGCGGAGGCGCCGCGTCGAGCAGCCGAATATTACATTCTTATCACTAATCAGTTACTTCAGTTGCGCTTTATTTACAGCCACCACTGAATGGGCAGGCGCTCCGTCTAGCTGGTACCACAAACGCCTGCTTTGAGCTACAGACAGTTGATCTGTATAATCTGACACTGGGCCATCAAGCAATTCCAAAAACCTGATAGCAGTCAAATTTCCGTTAATGAAAATTGGACCGATCATCTGATTGCCGTGTATTGCTGCCCATACATTCAACGAAAAACGGTACTAGTGGGAAGATTCGCGTACAGCATGAGGATTTTCCCTGGACCAATATCCATTCCATATACCATTACGTGTGAAGGTACTCTCGTCAGTCCACATGATGTTGGATAGAAATTCAGGGTCATTAGTTACCTTCGTACATAACCACTCTTATGGGTTGATCTCTGTTTAATAAAGCCGATACTTTTCGAAATCTGAAAGGCCGTCGTTTATTAGCCTTTAAAATACCGTGGACCTTTTTGTGGTGAACACTGAATAGACGAGCAGCCCTACGTAAATTGCATGTAGGGTTACGCGTAAAATGGTCTAATACACGTTCTTCAAGGGCGATCGGTGTTCGGGGAGCAAACTCAACATCACGTGCCACCAAACTTACAAAAATTCGGCTGTCTGTAGGACACACACGAGTGGTTCCATATCTCTCACGGTATGTCCGTAAAGCTAAAAAAAGCGTTTTGATGGACCATGTCAGTATACTCCGGGGCTTTTTTATCTTTAATGGCTTCTTTGAGTCGCTCTAATATTGAAGCGTAGTATTCTCCGGTTATAGAAACACCTTTATCTTTTGTAATCGATCAATAATATTCCTTCTGAATCCCAAAAGACCGTTGCCATGAGTTTCCCAGCTGACTGTGACAGTGACACCTTAAACTTCTTGGGAGGTGCTGTGCCCTTTTTATGCCACTGCATGGAGTCTTGTTTCGACTCAGGTTCATAATGATGAACCCAAGTTTCGTCTCCAGTAACAATTCTACTCAATACAGCATCCTTGTCTTCATTACAAAGGTCTAAAAGTGCACGTGAACACTCTACGCGCTGTTGTTTTTACCTTTGACCTTTGTCATGCCAAAATGATCGTGCAGAATTCTAAAAATGGTTGTATCAGATACTCCAACCAAATCTGCGAGTTGTTTCTTCTTTAGTCGAGCATCGTCGAGTACAATTTTTTCGACTTTTGGATAAGTTCCGGCGTGATCACCTCGATGCTCCTGCCCGGCCTCGGGTCGTCTTCAAGGGATTCCCTTCATTGTTTAAATAAACTGTGCCATTTGTACACCATGGTTTTTCCTGGACAAGAGACGCCGTAAACCAATTACATCTCATTCATTATGGTCGCAACTGATTTACCTTGCTTGGTAAGGAACTTTATAACGGCACGATATTCGATTTTTTCCATGTTTCACTTTTCACTCCCGATTATGTTGCTTGGTTGACGATAACTCAAAGACTAATTGTCTAATAACAATGAAACCTGGTATTTATACTAATTATGAGTCACTGAACACGTGACGATTCTAATGAGCCTAATCACCCCCCTCCAACCCTCTCATTCCGCGAACTTAAAAACGCACCCTCGTACGTGCTTCTATTTTATTTTCGCCGACACTGATCAACACAAGTTTATGAACCTTGTTGTCAAACATAGTATTATCTTCTGTATGCCGTTGCAATATGATTGATTTTACTTTGAAGAAATTCTTATTTTTAACTTTTTATTAATTATGTCGTAACCTGTGCGATAAAGTTTGTATAGCGACAACGGCAAGGTCATTGTCATTGACACTTAGTATTGACGCTTTGCGTAAACATATGGTGTTGTAAATTACGAAACACAAAAATCAGTCCTGTGGCCAAACTATGTACTGAATATATTTCGTTCATATTTTGCAAATCGTCTAGAAATAAAGTGCAGAATATGATGTTAAAAGCTTAGTGATACGATAATCGACACAGTGTGTATGGATGGCTAAACCTCCTTTCTAAGGAGAGCCCTATGTCCAGCAGTGGACTATTAAAGGCTGTTATGTGTGATGATGTGATGGATGGCTAGTAACATAGATATTAGGGAATTAATGAAATCACAATCACTTGTCGTAAATCATATGATTTATAAATAGTGTCATGACATCTGTGACTGATTTAAAAAACCACTGCTACTTAATTACTACGTTAGCGCAAGACTCACATCGATCTTATTTTTTTTTATCAAATTAACTTAATTTGACTGACATTTTGTGTGATCCACAAATTGTTGTTTTGAGTCTGTGTGTTTTTTGTGTCCGTCTCATGTATGTTTGTAAAGTCCTCCGCGACACAGGATATATGCCTAATGCGGCAGTTGTGTTTTATAAGAAGAAAAAAATACTCTTCATTATGAAACAGTAGGTACAATGGGCGGTCTTACATCAGTCTGCAAATCTCTTACAGACAACCAGGATGAACTATACTGTCGTCTAGCATCAACTAGAAATTAATAAGCAGGAAAAATACATTTTCTCAATAGTATTAATTAGTTCTGAACCTACGTAGAAAGTAGTTAATGTATAAAGGCTGTTCACAATTCACAAATAGTAACATTTTAAGTTAAAATATTCCAGGCTCTATCAGCAGCTCCTACTCCGAAGCTGATCTCGAACAAGGACTGGAATGCAGGCGCGTCAGGCCACGAGGAAACCAGTTAACTATAATTACAACCAACATTGGCTTATACAGGTATTTACTTCTTATTCTTGGGGTTAGCGCCACCCGCATCGGGATTGCTATAACTTGTTCAATGGGATTGACCATAGTAATATAACGAATAAAACCATTACCAAATAACTAAACGGTTCAACTGCCTTGGACTCAAAATGAATGAATCAAAAGTATATTAAGGAATTCCTATCTTATTCATCCCGTGGGTGTCGTAAGAGCAGACTAAGGGAGCAAACTACGCAGGACAACAGCACTGCAACGAGACGGAAAACTTGACACAAACCCTTTTTTTTTATTTTTATTTTTTTTAACGTGTGGAAATCCCCTCGGACCGTCACCCCACCGGGGTTTGCGGCGGGGTGGTGTGTCGGACTCGGACCGACTAAAACCACACGGTGTGCCACTCTGCGCCTGTAACAGGAGGGATCCGGTATGAAAATGATATGATGGTTGCGAATGGCACCTAGTTTATTACAAACTTTTGTTCAGAATCGTATCGTTGAAATACAGGATTTAATTTTAAAGTTTACCATGGCGTCATGTCAAAGGTAAAGACAATCCAGTTGACTTAGTTTTGCGGGGTGTCAGCTTAGATAACTTAATCTCCTATGATGCGTGGTGGCATGGACCACTTTTTCTTCGCGATATCGAGTTTGATAGTAGCGCTTACGTGACGTCAGAACCAAATATCCAACATGATAAGTTACCCGAATTAAAACCAGTAAAAATACATACTTTTACGTGTAATAATAACAATTATTCAGATAATGCGCTATTTCCATTTCATAGATTTTCTCAGTTCCACCGTATGATACGTGCATGTACATACCTACTACGTTTTATTTATAATACGTGCAACAAAACCAACAGGCGTAGTGGAATTCTCACTGTGTAGGAACTGAGACAATCAGAGTCAGTTTAAGTCAAATACAGTCAGTTAGAATCATTTCCAAATGAACATAAAATATTAAGTAATAATGGCTGCTTTAACAACAAAAACTATTTGTCAAAACTTAATTTATTTATTGACAATCAAAACATCATTCGTGTAGGTGGCCGCATATGTAACTCTGTGTGTTTTACATTTAACAAAAACATCCCATATTACTCTCCAGTAAACATTTCTTTACCATTTTGTTATTTCGCTTTTATCATAAAAAAATGTTACATGTGGGACCCCAGACACTTCTTTTTAATTTAAGAGAAGCATGGTGGCCACTCAGAGGTAGAAATCTAGCACGAAAAACGGTTCATGAATGCGTTACTTGTACTCGTTTTAAGGGTAAAACATTTACCCCACTCATGGGTAACTTACCCGTGGAAAGAATTACCGCTAGTTTTCCTTTCTACAATTGTGGCGTCGACTACGCCGGCCCCGTGTACATAATGAGCCGCAGAGGTAGGGGGGCTAAGACGTTTAAGGCCTATATTTGTTTATTCATATGTTTTGCTACGCGCGCTGTACATTTGGAATTGGTATCCGATTTAACTTCCGAAGCTTATTTACTGGCACTTAAGCGTTTCATATCGCGTCGCGGAAAACCACAACAGATATTTTCCGACAACGGAAAGAATTTTGTAGGCTTAAGGAATGAGTTTCAAACATTTTTGAAAACATGTTCTTTAGATATTGTAGAATACGCTAATAGTGAAAATATTCAGTTTAAATTCATTCCTCCGTATGCCCCTCATTTTGGTGGTTTATGGGAGGCTGGCGTTAAATCTTCTAAGCACTGTCTTATGAGGGTTATAGGTAATGCACATCTGACCTACGAAGAGTTCAATACAGTACTCACACAAGTTGAAGGTATGCTCAACTCTCGTCCGTTAACACCATTCTCTACTGATCCAAATGATCTCCTTCCTTAAAGTCCTGCTCACTTCCTCATAGGCCGTCCGATTTCTTCTCCATTATGTGCTCACCCTCCCTATCAACGAGTTGAACAAATTCGGCAACATTTTTGGAAGAGGTGGAGCACAGAATTTATATCAGAAATGCAAATTCGAAGTAAATGGAATCACAAATGCAGGGACTTACAGCAAGATACACTGGTCATCATCAAAGAGGATTGTACGCCACCGATGAAGTGGCAACTTGGACGCGTTGTGACTACTTATCCAGGCAAGGATGGTGTTTCCAGGGTAGCAGATGTACGCACAGAGAAAGGCATTGTGAGGCGAGCATTCTCAAAACTCTGTCCTTTGTTCCCGTTGGAAGCTGCTTCTTCCAAGGCCGGGGGCATGTCTACGCACCAATCAACGCACGTGTAAATGACGTGATATGTGTTCCGCCAATGAGAGACGTTTCTACACAGTGACCATTTCAAAAGGGATTTATAATGTACGGCTTATATACTCAGACTTTTGTAACAACCGCACATTAAACATGTTTGCAATGTACATATGTAAATTTTTAATAATTACACAAGTTCACGATATACCTACAGTCTTACGTCTATTTTATCTACGCACCCAACGCAACAAGCTATCGAACGAACAATCAGATCAAGCGATAAACATCTTAATCACCAATTCTATAAGAGTAGAGTGTAATATTATTCAAGTTTCATTCATCAATAACGAATCATCACATGTGCTTCACGAATTCTCACCATCAGTGCCACCCGGATATCAAATTATTGAGTGTCCATCACACCCGGTTTACTTGCCTTTGAAGGTGAATACGATTCAAAATCTCCTTATACGTCTAGTGAATGAACAAGGGGGCCTTGTCAACTTGAGGAAAGAGAACATATCACTCTGTCTTCATATAAGAAAAAAATAAATCGATATGATCGTCTATAAAGTCAACAATCAACCAACTAGGTCATAGTGTTCCTAGCATCACGTTTGAGACAACATCTAAACCATCATTCGACATTGACATATATAATCAACCAAAACAACAGCAGCCGAAACACCTCAAAAAAAGATTAAGAAAAGATAATTATTTATTTTTACAATCACTGGGGCTACAATTGAAACAATAAAATGCCATCATCATCCGTTTCAAACATTGAGGAAAGTGTACTGTTTGATGACAGTATTGAGGGTATTGAATACCACTCATACACTCCTTATCATGAATCATATAAAAACAACGATGAAATTCGTATACGCATCAACGATATGGATACCATAGTGTTACCTTGTGAGAGCCAACTCATAGTTGAAGGTACAACAACGAAAAATTCTATTTTCATCAATAATGGACCAGCTTACCTATTCCATGACATTCGATATGAATTGAATGGTGTGGAGATTGATAGAACGAAAAATTGCGGCGTCACCACTACAATGAAAGGAATCCTATCCTACGGTGAGAAAAAGAATAAGACCTTGGAAAATAGCGGTTGGAACACGAATGGTTTTAAGGAGATCGATGGAGAGTTCTGTTTTACCATTCCACTGCGACACCTATTGGGTTTCGCGGAGGATTATAACAAGGTGATTGTGAATGCAAAACATGAACTGATTTTGAAACGCAATTCTTCAGATTTGAATTGTGCGTTAGTCAAAGACACCACTAAAAAGATGGAAATTGTGGTAACCCGTATTGCGTGGCGTGTGCCCATAGTTAAAGTATCCGATAAGGAAAAGCTACGTCTATTAAAATATTTGGTGTGATTGATTGTTCAAGGCAAACTGATACTATTCGTTCAGGTGCTGGTGGCGCCATTGACATAAAAAACATTAATATCGCAGACCGATTAATATTAACAAAGCAAGATTTGAATACTGCATTTATGGAGAACGCCCTTCAAATCACAGATTTTTCCAACAATGGTTTGATTCCTTCCGGTTCACCGAAACAACATCATCAATGTATATACATCAGTTATATAGACAAAAACGAAGAAAATCAAATGGAACGTTAAATTGTTGTACACGTGGGAGTACAATCAATGAGCATCTCCAATGTAGAGTGGCGGCATCTGTATCATATACTCAACTGTCTTGACACTCGTTTACAACATTTACTTCACCTCAAGGCCTGCTATGAAAACCGGATAAACTTCTTCAAGAAGAAATTGAAGTTTAATCGAATAAAAACATTGTATGATGCCTCAAATGTTCTAGAAAGTATTTATGACAAGTCGTCCATTGTAGACCACGAAATCAAATGTTTTGCAACTGAATACTTGTTCTATTCATGTTTAGTATTAAAAAAAACATACATTAAATACTTTATATTTATAAATTGTTTTTCTCATTCCTTATCTCCTAAACCACCACCACCACCACCACCACCACCACCACCACCACCTAGGTTTGCGGTTACAAATACATATAAAATATGCCTTTGTTATAAAGTTTCACAATTCGCAAGTATAAAATACATAGGTAGTTAACATACACCATGTACAAGTGTCCTTTTTGTAATGTTCTTGTTCATAATAATCAGTTAATAGGGAATATGCACGTGACACCAAAATGTACAAAATATTTTTATTTGTAATTTTTATTGCTAAAAAAATATACCCATACAATTATTTTTGAAATTTATTATAATTTAATAGTGAAATTTAATCATCAAAAATTTCTAAAACGCAACGCTATTGGTTGAATAAAACGTGACGTCAACCTACACTGTCAAGAGTGTCAACAAGTTGTGTGTATTTGTAATATTTGGTTTCTGGTGATTTTTTGTTTAATTTTAAGTTAATAACTAATACGTTTTCAGTGTTAAATTATTAAATTCCCGTGTAGAAAGACTCAACACAATGACTGAAACCAATTTTGTCAAAGCACAATCAGATAATCTTCCTAAAATAAACGTGTTTATGATGAGCACCTATTTCGCATATAATTCAGATTTTACGTCTGCTGAACTCAGAGGAGTAAAAGCTGCGAGGTAAACAAGTTATATAAATTTTATTAAATTATCGTTTTCATGGTTTTGTTAATAGCCGTATAACATAAATATAACCTAAAATACGCTTAGCTGCAGTTTTGATATTATTTGGGCACAAAGGAACGGCACAATATTTATAATAAGTTTTTATTGGCTTTTCCATGGTAATAAGTTCATTTTTATCACTCACTTTTTTAACTTTCAGAAACTTTGTGAACTTCACTCCGTCGAATTCGTCTGAAAGTGTAATCTGACGTCACAAAAAAAGCGCGCCAAAATGGACGTGTTCAAATTGCCCCAAAATGATAGTGATTTTAATAAAAAATTTTTGCTTAACGGTTTATATTTCGGATGTGTTATATTTTTTTTTGGTAATGTAATAACTAGTAGAATCGTTAAAAAAAATAAAAAAAATACATGCATATTCCCTATTGCTCACTCAAGAACGAAACGTCATAAGTTGCTTTGCAAACAAGATGGTGGAGACTATTTCACATATGTTATAAACTCAGCATACAAGTGTAGAATAGTTACATATCGATGGAACATCAAGTATTTTTGAGCCAAAAATGTATCTAAATAAAGTCGCGACTAAGGTACAACGGATACTCAGGCTTGAACTGGAAGCTAACTCAAACATCAAGGTTAACTTGGAACTTTTCTGTACTTATATTATCATACGAGATGAAGAAGTGATTAGAGATCTAAAATCTTTTAATATGAAAAATGTAAGCCTAGAGGTGTCATCTGATTTATCTGCTTTTTACGATAATGCATATTCCATACTATTGCGTAAGAGTGAATTTCAAGAGAGGGACAGCGGGTGGGCTTTGGAAAAAATTGAATTTTTGGAACTTAACATCAACAAGTATGTTCCGATAAGAGGAAGCACTTATTTACCACTTCCACTTTGGATACGCAATAAACATGTTGTGTCAACGTGAAAAATAATGATGATGCTTGTCTATTTTGGGCAATAACAAGCTCTCTTCATCCAGTTGACGTTCACTCAGATAGAACATCTTCATACCCATCATACAAGGATCAATTCAAAACTCAAGGTATTGATCTACCAGTCACCATTAAAGGAATTAAACACTTTTAAATGATCAATCAAATCAATGTGAATGTGTATGGCATTGAAAAGAGAAAAAAAAAGCTACCATTGTTCCTTTGTATATTACATCAAAAACGAATGATCGTACTGTACACCTCTTGTACTTTGAAGGTGTTCTAAACAAGATCATCTAAGGACACTATTGTTGAATTAAAAACTTATCACGCTTGATTTGCTCCCAAATTACACGAAACGAACATCAAATTCATTTCTGTAATGGATGCCTACAATATTTCAACAGCGAGAGTAAACTTTAACTTCACCGGAGATTGGGGTGTCAAAAAACGTTTATTGCCCTACCCACCAATCAGGATAAAACATTATATTTTAAGAACATCAGTTACATGTACCTTTCGTTAGATATGCAGATTTTGAATCAATTTTAGAGCCTGTTACAAGTGCAAGTGAAATTAAAAGTACATATTACACCCATAAACACGTTCCTTGCAGTTTTGGATACTACGTACATTGCAATTATGACACTTCATTATCAAAATTTGTCACATATCGAGGCAAGGATTGCGTACAAAAGTTTGTAGATAATATTTACTCGGACGTTAGTGATAGTGATTGCAGAAATTTATTCAAAAAAAGTGTCACCCGAAAATGAATGTGAATTTATGAAAAATAATATGAATGCAACCAATTGCCATATATGTGAACAACCGTTGTTATCACCCGAGGACAAGGTAATTGATCATTGCCATCTTACGGGGAAAATCAGAGGATTTGCTCATAATCAATGTAACCTTAAATACACAAATCCCAACTATGTTCCAATACTATTTCATAATTTAAGCGGTTACGATAGTCATTTATTTATTAAAGAACTATCCACTCGGGCAGGTGATACAATCAAATGCATAGATATACATTCTAGATAATGATGGTTACACAGTGAAGAAAAACAAAGGTAGTTCAGCTGCGATTGTTAGAAAATTAAACTTTCAACATTATTCCCATGCTCTCGACCTCAACTATGTCAAATATGATAACATGAAAACATTCCACAGCGATAAGCATAATGTATACACTCAAACCAAAAGGAGGAAGGTCATCTGCGGTAAAGACGATAAGCGATACATTTGTATAGATGGTGTAAACACGCTGGCTTGGGGTCATTTTAACATAAAATAAAAGACATTTATCATATTATCGTATTTTATTTCATAGCTTTTCATAATTTATCAATTTACCTTTCACAAAAGCACAACGACTAAAGCATCGAATATGTTCTTGCCATGGATCATCGTTTTCTTTCCAATCCTTCAAACCACCACCACAACAGAAACACATGGTCTTGTCTCCCGCACCAATGTAAAAAAAACCAGCATCCGCTAGTGCTTCCGGCCTTGGACGCCTAGACTTTGGCCACTCCTTAAAACTAGACAATCGAGTCACTTTCGAACGAAGATCGGAAATTTTGTCTCCCCAAATACAAAATCCAGAGTTTTCTCGTTAGGCTTCATTGGTGACGAAAGCCCAACCTCATCCTTACCCAAACAACAATCACATTTAATTTCCATTTCGTCTCTCTTGGACAGACGCTTCACAAACTTCATAAAACAGTCTTTCTCACCACACATCAAGTCAAACAATGAACATAAATTCATCTCGCAAGACATCATACAATGGCCTCACTCACACATCCCGCACGCGCGCCGAACCTCAGCTGGAAGGCAAAAGTCGCTTCTTATCACATTCACACACAGGTATTGCAACCTCAGTATCCGCCCAAGCAACATTGTTGTACTCAACCAACCACCAAGAACCATCCGACACATACCAAAAACACACTCCACACAGCTCAATTTACAACAGTCCAAACTTTTTTGAACGCCTTATAAACGACCAAAACCAACATAACATGAACCAAACATACACTACACTACCATACTAACAGAGCTCTACTTAGGCTGAACTTCCGGTGGTCCAGAACCGGCAATTCCTCTCTACTTTCCTTATTAGTAGTGTTGAGGACTGAAACAGTGACATGATTATTTCCTTTAAGAGTAACAAGACAACTAGACATAAATACACCTTTCTGAATTTTAGACTTATCGACGTAACCCGTGATTACTTCAGGATTTAGTACATTACATTCTATAAGCATTTCCGAGCGCGATGGAATAATAAATTCGGGTTTAGTGAAATAAATTCGTATTAAGTTACCATGTATATCTAAGACGTTATGTTTATAATCGATATTAGCATTATGAGATTTTAGGTAGTCATTACCAATTATACCGTCAAATTCGATATCTACAGTCTGATATGACGTGAAATTTACCGAAAACAGTTTTATTATTCTGAAATATAAAATCTAACTGAAAATGTCCCAAGCTCTTAAAATATTCGGTGTCTTTATCAATTCCTTTAAACTGGACACTTTCAGGTGTTAATTTGGGTTGAACTTGTAAAGAACTCCCTTTTATTAGAGAGATTCTTGCACCGGAGTCGATTAATAGAACTAGTAATTTGTTTGTATATTTCGTCTTGACATAGATATGAGGCAAATGCGTTTTCTTATTGTAATTGAGTTGAAATATATTAGATTGTATTTCTGAATTACATTTATTATTTTCTGTTAAATTAAATGGTGTACTGAAATGGTTTTCTAAGCAATTGTAAGATTTAGTAGGACTGACGGATATAGTAGTTTTAGAATTAGTAGACCTTTTAAGGGTATTTGGCTTGTTATTATTATGATGAAACGTAGTATAATTTACCTGCAATTGTTGAGGTGTAGAGGATTCAGGAGAAATAGTAGATTTAGTATGATAGTTTTCGAGACTCAACTTCTGTGGTTGAGATGTATTAGACATAGGAGAAATAGTAAGACTCGGTTTATTAACGCGAGATGTAGAAATAGTAAGATTAGTATTATGACTCAACTGCTGGGGTTGAGATGTAAAGGATTTAGTAAGGATATTAGATTTAGTAGAATTAATATGGTTCTTATTACGAGTATTACTTAACATAAAAGTTTTATTAGATATAGTTAAGGGGATATTAGAGGCGTCAGCGTCGGTTTGTATTGATGATTCCGTACGACGCAGGACCGGAATCTTATTCAGTTTAAATGATCATACGTGTTTGATTCTAATGAATTACAGTTAAAATCTTGAATTTCAGAGTGAGCTAGTTCGACAACATTGTTAACTTGCCTTTGTGGCTTGTTAGTTGGATAATTGTTACGGGAATTATTATATTGGCGCTTTCGACATTGCGTTATGTCTTGACCGGGATTTTTACAATATTTACAGAATAAATTGGTTACTAAGAGTATGTACAGGACGTTGTCGATTGTTAAAACAATTTCTATCCGAATGACCTATTTTATCGCATATTTTACACCTAGGTTTATTTTCAATTGGTCTAGTAGAGTGAATATAATTTTGTAGTTTTTCCTCCTGAATAGCCAGGTTTATAGCCTCGTGTAAAGTTGTAGGGTTGCGACATCTTAAGACGTTAGAGATATGACTCGGTAAGCCCATCAAGAACGTATGCAGTGCCAAGTCTTCTGTGCTGGCGATTCGGCCCTTTAATTCCCTAGTAGATCCCTAGTAGAATGTGTGATGTCAGTTTGTAATCGCGTTAAATATGTCTCTAATCGTAGGCTATATTGTGTAACCGTTTCATTAAGGCTAGCGTCCACTAGGCGGATCGGGTCGGGCCGCATCGCAACGCAAAAATACGCCTGGCTATGTTTTGTATGAAATATCGTTTATTAGCGACGGATCGGAGCGCGGCGGGCGGCAACGCATTGGCGGATCGCTTCGCAGGCGTATTTCTGTCGGCGGTGCGCTGCTACCCGCCCCGATCCGTCTAGTCGACGCAGGCAGGCGGATGTGAGCGCACGTGCCGTGCTAATAAAAATAAACGAAAATGAAAGAAGAACTGCTTATTTCTTTAGTGCAAAAGTATAGAGAACTGCATGATCTAGGAGACCCTAGATATCACGATGAGCAGCGGCGCATGAATATATGGCAAGAAATAGCACAGATTTTGAATGAAACACGTAAGTACCTATTCATTTAAATTATAGGTTTTCGACCCGTATGTATGTAATATTTCCAGAAATGCCCAGTTTTTGGATATGTTAGTCTATATCAGCTTCTATTATAGACCTGTGCCAAATTTCAAAAGTGTATGTATGTTTGTATGTTTGTCCACGTCTCCAAAAGTGTAAGTCCGATTTAAATAATTCTTTTTTGTTGTACTAGGTATTGTTCAACTTAGGGAATGGTGCAAACTTCATCAAAATCGGTTCAAAAGTTTTTGAGATAGGGAATGTTATTGTGTATTATTATTAGACAGGTGCAATATTTGTTCTCACATATCTCCGATACTTACTAGTCCGATTTAAGTAATTCTTTTTTTTTGTTAAACTAGGTATTATTCAACTGAGTGAAAACTGTAAGTTTCATCAAAATCGGTTTATTAATTATCATACAGAGAGTTAAGTGTACTTAAATTAGTCTTTCACATGAAAAAATGGTGAAATAAAAATGTTTAAATAAAAAAACATAAACAGACTTCACTGGAGTCGGAGCACCTCAAAGCACCTCCAAGCGAAGACTTCATTGAAGTCGGTTTATGTTTTTATTCAAACATTTTAAAATATTATAAGTATATCAAACTTTACGCAATAATAAGTAACTTATTATTAATTTATAATTATATTTATTCTTCTTGCGCTTGCATATCTGGGTCTCGGTCTATGTGGCGATATCCTCTGTTCACAACTGTCATTTGCCATGGACATGAGCCTGCACGAGATACGAAATAACTTTTGAATTTGTTGCGAATTGCGAGAGCGACTTGAGATGAATTACCTCCAATAATTGGTAAATTTACTAGTCTCTTGTTCAGAGTTTCTCTTAGATCATCTTGTGACCAATACGATGGGCTATTTGTCAAAAAGTTATGTAAACAGCATGTTGCCGCTACAACAATGTTGACATGTTCAGGAGTCATAGATAACCGCCTTTCATAAATTCTAAACCTTCTAGCTAATATACCAAAAGCATTTTCGCTGGTTCGGCGGGCCCTACTTAGTCAATTAATTTTTTTTTCTTCGTCCGTTAATTGATTTCCAGGATACGGTCTCATTAAATGTTTCTGTAGCGGAAAGGCTGCGTCTCCCACTATAACATGAGGCATAATTTCCTCGGTACCCGGCAGTGCCTTGTCATCAGGTATATTTAATTTGTTTTGTGCCAATGATTTTCCCACGACAGAATTGGCAAATAAACAGCCATTAGAATTCTTTCCAAGGCCACCTATATCGAGTAGTGTAAATCTGTAGTCAGCATCCACTAAGGCCAACAAAACAATTGAAAATGTTTTTTATAACAAAAATACTTCGAGCCACTATTTGCGGGGCATTCGATAACAACATGTTTGCCATCCAGCGCTCCAATACAATTAGGAAAATTCCATTTTTCCCAATATTTTCTTGCTATCTGTTTCCAATCCTCTTCGGAAGGTGTAGGTACTTTCATATTGTTCCATATCGCCGTGCAAGTCTCATAAACGATATATCTTACTGTTTTTTCTCCGAGTCGATAATTAAAAGCCAGCGACCTGAATGAATTCCCCGTGGCCAAAAACCTAAAACAAAAGCACATTTTATTAACCGACTTCCATAAAAAGAGGAGGTTCTCAATTCAATTCTATTTTTTTCTTGTGTGAATGTTACGCGATTTCTCCGCCAATAATGAAGTTGGAGCACTTCACTTCATCCATTGCCATAAGCGTAGAGTTCATTGAAGTCATTTCTATGTTTGTTGACTGATATTCTTTTTATTTTGTTCCAGCGGCAAATTGTAAAGAGAGATGGAAGAGAATTCGCGATAATTATCGACGCGCCAAAAAACTACGTCTAATGAAGAGTGGCCAGGCAGCCACTAACATAAAACCAATTCGATTTGAAAAAGAACTGAGCTTTCTCTCTCCCTTTATATGTAATGACACACAACAAAATTTAACAAATTTGCCATCTTTGAGTGATGATGAACAAGTCCTGTCACCACGGTCAGCAACAGATTCACAAGCCATGTCACCACTATCATCAAACTCATCATCAGTCATGTCACCACACCACCACCTATAAGTAGATCCCAAGTCAGTGAAACTGATTCGAGTAGGATCACCAAAAAGAAGAAGACAGACAGAATCTCTCAGTCGCCTCCACCGACACAAACTCTGTTCCAATCATACTTAGAAAAAAAGTATCAATCGCTTAACCAAGGCCATGATACTATGGTAGATTTTTCACAAACTTGGGGAAAACAGTCACAACATTCCCGAAAGATGTTCAGATACGGGTTAAGGGTGCGGTGTTTAAAATTGTGAACGATGCTGAGGCTGATTTGTTTTGCAGACAAGTTGATACAAATAATATATCGCATGCGAGTAGAGAGTCCCAAAATATGCAAACCATAAATCAACAGCCAGTTGCAGCCGTGATTTTAAGTCAAAATAATCAATTCTCATCCATTCAACCTTTACGGACCTCTGGACAAGCATCATTTCAAGCATCACCTACTACGGCATCGATGCTATCTAACTCGTCACAACAAGTATATGAAGGACAAGTTTATGAAGTACAAGAACATGATGTACAAGGTTCTGAAATCATGGAACAATTTCTGCATTTTCCAAAAAATAAATAATTGTTACTGTGTAATGTTAATGTTAACTTTATTGGGAATTACTAATAAATATGATTAATTATGACTCAATTTTTTTATTGTCACAAATAAAGTGGTTTATGTATTCATACAGGTAATAAACTATCTGAGTGCCAAATTTCATCCAAATCTGTTCAGCCTTTTTGCGTGATCGAGTGACACACCCATCCATCCAAACTTTTGTATTTATAATACTAGTTATAAAGACTACCGCCAAGGAATAGTGGTTTACCCATGCCCCTATTCGGGTATAGGACAGATTCTTAGATTGGAGGTAAAGCACGATCTCATTGTGTAAACAATAATTAATTATAATAAAATTATTATCAGATGTCAAAAAATCATAATTACCTGAGACAAATAGCAAGTCGTTCTTCTGGTTCAATTGGCCTTCGAAATTTTGTGGTTTGTTTCTGTAAATCTTCACGTAATATATTAAGCAATGTTTCAAATTTTCCAAAACACATTCGAAAATACTCGAAGAATTTGACTGGATCTTTCTTCAAATCGTTAAACAAATGATGGTATTCACCAAATACATTTCTTTTCTGGCATATATCATGCACCCACACCTTGTGTACTCGTCGTCGTTTTTTATTTTTTTGCTCTTCCTCAAGAAGGATTTGAAACCATAACATCCCTTCGTCGGAGCTGTCCATGGTCGCGCGATGTCAGTCCAAGCACGAAAACACGTCTGTAAGATAAAATCCGCTTAGGCGGTCCGCCGCGCCCCGTACAGATGGACGCAAGAGCATCACAGAACCGCGGCCCGTTCCAATGCGACCCGCCCCGATCCGTCCCTAAAGGACGCCAGCCTTTAGACTTTTGTTTACAATTTTGTAAGTCTAATAATGAATGATCTCTATGCTTGGTTTCCCCGAAAGTTGATTTTAAAAACTGTTTCAACTCAGACCAATTTTCAAAATTTTTTAAAGAGCAGGCGGACTCTGCTTTACCTTCTAATTGTGAATTTAAATATTGAAAGAGAATGTTATGTTGCGATGCGGTGGCCAAGTTTAACGAGTTTTCGCAGTTTCTAATGAAGGCTGTTAACCTGTTTCTATCACCATCGAAAGGTTTTATAAACTTAGTCAAAATTGAAAAATTTAATTCCTCTGATCCTACGCTTTGTAACTTGAACACGACTGAGCGTTTTTCTTTTCAAGTTTACCACTTTCGTTAACCATTTTTATATAAAAAGGGAGCAAAAATTAAGACTGAAATTAGCAAAAATATGTCAGTGACAGAAAATAAATTAATATAAACGAGCAAACACTCACAATATTAGCAGTATGTAGAACGATGTCATGGATGCAGCGGAAATCGGAGCGGCGACACAGCGGTGACGCAATGTGCAGCGTTGCAGATTTTGCAATAGGTACGGGTCGGTGTAGTGTGTCGTGGTCTTGTACTCGTGTGATTATAATAATAATAATAATAATTTTTATTTGACCAATTACAGTGTAGGACATTTCAGTTTAACATAGATCTTAGACAATAATTAGACTAAATTACACTAGCGTAAATTTATAGTAGTGTTATTTTATTCTTATGACTGTGTAGTATGATTCATATTGTATGATTTTCTACACATAAAGATATTAAGATTTTGTTAAAAACTTTAGTCGCTTATGAACTCAGTGCCGGGCAATGACCCCTCGGGCACAGTGGAGTTCGATGACACGTTGTCTGCGAAGTCCGGAGTCGGCGGCGGCCTCAGGGAGCGTCAGAGAGACGGCGGAGACAGCAGGTGGCTAACTTAGTTCAGGAACTGGTTAAGGCCAGGTCGTCGTCAGGAGTAGGCGACCAGAGGGACTTCAAAAATCCCCTTTCTTCTGACACCAAATGTTAGATTGGACAGTCAGGCACTTTTAAAAAAAAAACCACTGACTATCACAATTATTTATTTTATAACTCTACACAACTTTTGGCAACTTAATATAGACACAAACTTATATAACACCACTTAACACGGATTATACGCGTTTATATTGGCCCCAACGAAGGGCAGAATAGACCCGGAGTATATTATTGCTCTAGAATTTCTTGCTGAAAACCAACCAAGGTTGGAGAGTAGTTAGAGACCACAAATTATATCAGCACTAGAGAATAATAACTGACTAATTTAAGAAAAGGATTGGTATTTATAATGTATTTATTGCTGATCTGCAATGTTGAATTTACGTCATTTTGCTATTATTGCAAGTCAGCAATATTGTATTGCATCCCTATGCAATATCATCAAAATTAGGGATGTAATAGAACGCTTTGTTCGGCGGGCAGGTCGCGGCGCGGCGATGATAATCGAGTTGCTGTCGCTGTGCTACCACGTGTGCTGCTTCACGTGTGCGTGCGCCACGCGCGCCTGCACTGCCAGCACTGCTACTCCTCCGACGACGGCCGCAAGTACTCGGCCGTGTGAGCGCCCGCCTGGACTCTTAACACTGTTGTTAACACATAAACTTGCTGTGTCAAACTTATTTTAAGTCATTACTATTCGTGATTAAGAAAATAACACAGTGGATAATTATTCGAATCACGGAGCCCCTGAATATTAGTTTTTTAAACAAATTAGTGATCAAATAAAACAAGACGTCTAATAATGACGTCACATTTTTTACTAATTTACATTAATTGTAAATAGAAAATGGCCAAATGATATAAATAAATAAAGTAAAAAAACTTTATTTATCGTCACTTCTCATTGTACAACTATAATTAAATATTACGTTAATAGCGAAATGTGTTGACATAGGCGCGATAGTGATCTACCTTGCCGTTTGTCATAAGTACATGCGCATGCGCAGACACAAAACGTCTAAGCGACTCAGCGCGTTTCTGAGTCGGCTACTGCACGCTTTTGATTAACGGCACGATACTTTTGAGGATTAAGAATCTAATTATATACTCGCTATAATGAGTAATGTAATATTTATCACACATTGCAATTATTCTTTACTTTATTCTTAACTAAACAATAATTAAAATAAAGAATGCTTACGTTCGCCTTGAAATTGTGTTTAGTGGGGGTTCAAACCTTGAACAATGCAATCTGAATACAAATCCATCCAAGCAATGAACAGGCGTGACTATTTATTTAGTTCTTTAGGTATTTATTTAGTTCTTTTATTGACTTGATTAAATAATTTAAAAATAAATATATTTAAAAGTGAATTATGGGACTCATTATAGCGACAATGCTTTATATAAAATATATGAATATTTCCTGACATTGTCACAGTATTGTAAGTCAGTTAAATGTTTTATTTCGGACTATTAAGTGCCATGTCATATTGTCTTGTCCCAACAAGTACATAACAGAAAATAATTAAGATATACCATTGAATAAATTGTTTTTACTAATAACTATAATTAAATGAAAAATGAACGTATTGTAATATTTTTTAAATAGTTTTTAATTTATCTTTGTACGTTTTAATGGTTAGCTTTAATAGTTATTAATTTAGTATATACAAATAAATATAATAATCAAAAAATGTGTATGGTTAAATTATTATTTATTTATTTTATTATATCTTTATTGTATACACTTTAATAGAAAAAAAAACAAAAGAAAAGATGAGTTACAAATAAGTAAACGTAACAATCGGCGGTCTTATCGCTCACAGCGATCTCTTCCAGACAACCTTAACATGGATTTTAGGTATTTAACAATTTGAGTAGTATACATATACACGTAACACAATATCACGTGAATATTTAAAAATATTCATAAACATAAACAAACACATTCATAGACAAATATACATCTATGGACATTACACATATACAAATACACATACATACATACACACATACCCATACTTATTTCTAATATATAATATATTAAATAGTGAATCAGAACAGTATTTATAATGACAGATAAAAATCTTTTAATATTTTTTAAAAAACAGGCAAAGTTTTAGCTTGTCGGATTGTTTCAGGCAAGTTGTTCCAGACTCTTACTGCTTGCACAGTGAAAGATTTGTCGTTTAGTTGATTCAAAATGGTTTAAATACTGCGAACTTCAAAAAAAACATGTTTTTAAAACTGTTCATTAGTTATTTAAAATGAAAACAGAGCAATTTTGTATTTATTTTTAGGCTCTAGAAATTAACAGAATATTTTATTCATGTTCTCCACTTATCATTGTGAGTCTTGTTTTTACTCTGGCAACTATATTATGGGAGTTCAAGTGAGATCATTGGGCTTAATCCCTAGTTGAGATATTACTTTCTAGTTCAGTGGGGGATTTGTTCTTATGAAAAATTTGAATGGCATTTGAGCTATTTTGTGTCAATAACTTATATAAACATAGTAGGTATATCCCTCTAATGTAACAATCAATATTATCTTATGTTTGATTAACACCCGTCGTGATTGCACCTATTCGTTGTAATTTTGTTAACTATATTCATACAGGGTGTGGCGTAAATAGTGGTCCACCATTAATGATTTGATAAACCAGATAATTTACTATAACATATTACAATTTTATCCATTTTTACCCAAAGGTACCGGAAATATAATTTTTTTTTAATTTTTTTACGATATGTGTACCTCTTGTTACAAATTTGGTTGTAGTTTTAACAAATACTATTATTTTTTCATTTTGATTACTGGTAATTACTGCTGAATACTAGAGCTATCGTTAAATAACATGTTTTTAATGTAAATTTAAAGCTTTTGAAGAAAAAATTTGGTTTCACTCTACTTTTAACCCAAATTTTTAACATATCATGCTAATTCAAGACCGATTTTTGTAAAAAAATCGTACTAAGCTGTCAGTGCCCATTCATTTAAAAATATGCCTACTAAATACCAATTTCAAAATGGTATCACAATAGCAGATCCTTTTGTTTAAACGCAAAAAGATATCCAATTTTAATTGAAGAAAAGAAGATTTTCATTAAAATACATTTTAAAATTTAGTTGCGTTAATACTTATGATTTTTGTAAAAAAAAGTAACTACACTGTCAGTGCCAATCCAATTTAAAATATTCCTACTAAACACAGATTTTAAAACGATTTGCCATCCCATTAATAAAAAAAAAAAATTGCAATTTTAATTGAAAAGGACTTTAAATAACAATTTTTTTACTACTGTTATTGAATTGTCTTGACCTAACTTGTAAATTAGAACAAGGCATTAAAAAAAACAAGTCATACTAGTCATCGTTTATTATTATTCTTTGACACGATTACAAACACTGTAAAAATTAGACCAAATGCTCGAAATGGCCCCCATTCGCAGCTATACATGCTCTGCAACGTCGAATAAACGACCGTTTAAGTCGTCGAGCAAACTCGCTCTCGCTGATTTTCCTAGCCGCTGTCTGGATTCTAGTCCTCAAGTGGTCAATAGAGGTGATTTGTTCCTTGTAGACATTTTCTTTCAGGTAACCCCAATAAAAAAAGTCCAGGGGATTTAGGTCCGGCGAGCGCGGTGGCCACAATATTGGACCTAAGCGCCCTATCCACCGATTTGGATACGCTGTGTTAAGGTGCTCTCGTACTCTAACAGCATAGTGAGCGGGACAGCCATCGTTCTGTAGCCACATGTCTTCTTGGACTTCAGGAGCGACATTTTGCAGAAGCAAAGGCAAGTCAATTCGCAAAAAACTTAAATATCTATCTGCGTTTAAAGTTTCTGGCAGCTCGTCGGTCGGGCTTTTTTTACCTGAGACATGTTTGTGCTCTTAAAACCAGTTTTATCAGACTAAAATCATATTTCAAAAGTAAAAAGTTACATTTTATCCGTTTTATAGAATTTAATACGTTTTGTAATAATATTCACCCAATTAAATTTTGAAATGTATTTTAATGAAAATCGTCTTTTCTTCAATTAAAATTGGATATCTTTTTGTTAAACAAAAGGATCTGCTATTGTGATACCATTTTGAAATTGGTATTTAGTAGGCATATTTTTAAATGAATGGGCACTGACAGCTTAGTACATTTTTTTACAAAAAGTTCATGCTTTGGGATGATGCTGGAAGACAATAAATATTCTTGCTCATGTCGTTGAAAACTTAGATAATACACGATACGAGTAACAGTTGCAATAAGTAATTGTTATCCTAATTACTTAAATATTATTGTTAACCTGATGTTTTTAAATATCTGGCATCACATTGTATCTTTTGTAAAAAAAAGTACCGTAAGATTGAGAATTAAAGTAAGAAAAAAAAACTCAATTACATTAACCGCGTAATTTTTAGTTTCATAATTTCAAGCTTTAGAAACACTTGTGACCACTTCAGACCATACCTGTGACCGGTTAGAACAGGCACTACTCATTTAATGGCCTTGGCTGATAAAATAATTATATTCAAATTGCATAATATCTTGTGATACGATATGATTATGGCAATTATTCCTTGACCAGGCTCATGAAACTTCAAACCAGCACGACAGATTTTCATTAATATGCATTATCATCAGCCTATATGGACATAGCTGGACATAGGCCTCTCCCATTGCACAGTACTTAGATCGGTTTTTGACTTCTCGCATCCAGCCCCTGCCAGCCATCTTGCGCAAATCGTCACTCCACCTGGCCTGTGGGCGTCCTACACTACGTTTGCCAAGACGCGGACTCCACTCATGAACTCGTTTACATAAATTTATAACACCCCTCACACGAACATCAACCCAAGGTTTAGCTGCAGCATCAGGTCACAATATCATCAGGTCATGAAGTTACAATTTATTTTTTTGTGTGTTACAATAACTTATAACACTCCTCTATTTGTGTCAGGGGTTTAAAATACACCTGGTTTTCCGGCTACTGGTACCCGAGACGGCGTGCGGTTTTTGGTCGATTCGAGTCTGACATAATCATCAAACTGGTGGGTGATATCCGAGGGGATTTCCTAACAGAAAAAAAAAGTGGTTTAAAATACAACATGCAAATCTGTCTCCTTGGAAGCTGGAATGTCCTCAGCAAAACACAGCCAAAAAAAAAAATTGTGTCCAGGCCTAATACATAAATCCGATTACAATCGAATGCAGTCGGCTCCTGCGCAAACAGCCTTAGAATGTAAAGGTGCGCGCGATTCATGTACGAACACAATTGGTGCATAATAGCGCTCGGCGCTCAGTGCTCGGCCGCCGCCCGCATGCCCAACGCTCGCTGGTTCCGCCTCACCGCGCGGCACGACGACGAACGCGGGATCTTCGCCTCTGGCCGAAAGTGCTCCCAACATGTACGACATCTTCGAGGAGCCGCCGCTTGACCTAACTGCGCACATCTGCGCGGACTCGTTACGTCAGAGTGCGCATGAGCAGATGCGCGCCGTTGGCGGACGTCTGCGATTATTGGACGAGCTCGAGACCGGGGTCATTACCGCCGAATCTGTCGCTAGCGCCTTCTCTGCTGCATCTGAAGCCGAAAAGAATATGTGTCTGTTTTGGGTGGCATACCTTAAACTCGCTAACTTACTGCCGCCTCTAATCGAGGCTGGAGCCGATCCGCTCTGTTTTGACGCTCTCGGATTGACTCCCTTGCACGTTGCAGCCTTCAGTGGCTCGACAGAATGCGCCACTTTTCTTCTGTCCCGCGGCTGCGATCCCAATTACATGCCGCGATGCTTCACTCCGCTTCATTGTGCAGCGTTTGGAAATTCAGTGCAAGTGGCTAATCTGTTAATAAGTCGCGGTGCATCTGTACATTCAGCCGTAAAGTATGTCAACTGTGAAGGTGGCCTCCTGCACTGCGCCGTGCGCGCCAACTCTGTGGAATGTCTCAAACTGTTTATATGCCATGGCGTCGACGTCAATCAAATTGAGCCGGGTGGCACTAACGCCATCCACCTCGCCGCTGACTTGGGAATGTTCCAGTGCCTCCAAGGGCAGATCCAGCTTTGATGCCAGGGGGGGGTCACATAGTCGAGGTCAAGTCACAAGAAGCTATAATATGTAGAAACGGCAACTAAAATTTCATTACTTTGGAAACCCTTTCTCTATTAATCTATGGTTAAGAACGGGTTTCTTGTCTATGGTACAGGTACCGAAGACGTCAGTCAGAAGTAATAATTCCTTCTAAAAGAGAATTTATCTATTTCGCGTATTTAGCTTGCACAGTGGCGCCCCCGTTTATTTCTATTATTTTTTGCCAGACTATAACTACCTACTCACCTACTGTACTTAAAAATACCTATATTTAAATCACAAAATCAAGTTTTCTTTTACGTTGTCTCCCGAAACGCGTTATCACTTCATCTACTTCAATGGGTACGTTTTTATGGACGTGGAGAAGTGCCAGTCCGGTTAGACGTTCTTCAACCATTGAAGCTCTTAGCCTCGATTTAATTCTTCGTAACGTAGAGAAAGATCTTTCCGCTGTCGCTACACTAACAGGTAGTGTAGCCATAATACATTAAAAAAATCTTATATTCGGATACATCTCACTGTCGCAATTTACAATAACGTCAGAAATCGACTGCGGTCTGTCCTGACTCCTCTGCCACTTGACCATCCACAGCCGATATTCATTTGAAACGACAGACACTGGAGTATTATCCAGTATAAATGTATAATCAGTTGCTAGTTGTTTCACAGTTTCAATGTCTTGATTATTGTATTCGCTTTTTGGCATGAAAACGCTTAGCTGAAACAAATTAAGTACTTCAGGAGACACACGGTCCTTTAGGTCATTTATTATTGAGTCTAGAAGAGGGATGTATATAGCTCTGCGGAAATACTCTTCCGCAGATTGAGCTGGTTGGTTTTTTTTGGCTTTTTTTGGCTCTATGTATTTGTCTTGACAATATTCTGGGACATTTAATTCCTACATCTAGCTGCTCAGCTACTTCTTTCGCCTATTCAAAAAGCTGTCGGTAAATTACGTCCACATTTTCTCTTTTATTTTGTAGAACACTTATAGTATCCCTAATAGCGTCTGCAGCTTTTTTTAAGTCAATTGAGTTCGATTGCAGTATTCTGCTTAAAGATACAGTCATCATCATCATCATCAGCCTATCGCAGTCCACTGCTGGCTCTAGGCCTCTCCCATTGCACGCCACTTAGATCGATTTTGGGCTTCTCGCATCCAGCTCCTGCCAGCCATCTTGCGCAAATCGTCACTCCACCTGGCCTGTGGGCGTCCTACACTACGTTTGCCGAGACGCGGTCTCCACTCAAGAACTCGTTTTCCCCAGCGGTTATCGGTTCTGCGGCTAATATGGCCAGCCCACTGCCACTTCAGCTTGCTGATCCGGTACGCTATGTCGGTGACCTTGGTTCTCTGCCGGATCACCTCATTTCTGATGCGATCCCTTAGAGAAACGCCGAGCATAGCCCTTTCCATAGCACGTTGAGCGACTTTGAACTTGAGGACCAGCCGTACCGTAAGTGTCCATGTTTCAGCTCCGTATGTCATGACGGGTAGGACTCACTCATTAAAGACTTTCGTCTTAAGGTACTGTGGGATCGACGATGAGAAGACTCGACGTAGCTTCCCAAACGCTGCCCAACCTAACCGAATTCTTCTGTTCACCTCGTCCTCGAAGTTGTTTCTACCTAACTGCAATGTCTGCCCGAGGTACACATAATTTTGTCTCATAGTCAGGCACTTGACATAACTGTTGTTGTTGTATCTATAATTGCTTTCTTTTACCTCATAAATGTTCGATCTAAGCACAATAATAAATGAACTGGATTCTATGGGTGCAACACAGTCGTGCGTGTGTAAACCAGAACAATGTAGTGGGCTCTTAAATAATAATTTAAATTCAGTGAACATATTGCATGTTAATATACGTAGCGTGAACCATAATTTTGATGAATTTACAGTATTCTTGAGTAATTTATCTATCCTACCTGAAATAATAGTATTATCCGAGTGTTGGCTGAGCAAGGTGTCTACCCATCCAACTTTGAGCGGTTATGTTGGTTATCATACGGTAAAAAACATTAATCAAAACGACAGTGTTATTGTTTTTGTATAGACAACAATTATACACACACATACACACACACACACACACACACACACACACACCAACATACAGACTTTGTAACATAATATACTCGTATATAAACATATAATAATGCGATATATATTATTATAATATTAATATCTATTTCTATAGGTTATTCCAACCTTAAGGCTTAAGCAATCCACCTCATGCGTATGCAACTACGATACATTACACTTTTACAATAACTACCTGTTGCAATTAAGTACGAGAGCCCTGGTACCCATACCACAAGTTAAATCTTACTTTGGGTACCAGAGGTCAACAAAACTATTGTACATGTTGAATTGTTACAACTTATGTGTGTTTTTACTGTATGTATCTTTTTGAGACAATAAATTATATTATATATATTATTATTATTGATATTGATGCCACACCCTTTCCAGTGCAGCGTCTTGAACATGTCCTCCATTGTATTTGTAAACAATTTCGGGGAAATAACGTCCCCTTGTCTCACTTCTCGATGCAATGGTGCGGGCCTTGTTTGCTGATTCTGTACATGGTGGCGGCTTCGTAGAGACATCTCATCAGCAGTTGGGAATATGCTGGACGGACGCCTGGCTGGCCTGGAGGCGAGACTGCCCCCTAAGCCGATTATGCGCCCCCCGCTCGCGTCGGCACAGCGGCCTAAGGCCACCGCTCCGACCGCGCTCCCCGTAGTGGGAGGCCGCGTCTCCTACGCGGCGGCGGCTTCTGCCCCGACTCCATCGGCTCCACAAAAGCCGACGAGGAGGGGGGCCAAGGCACCGGCCCAGGCGCCGGCCAAGGCACCGGCTAAGGCGCCGGCCAAGGCACATCCCCAGGCGCCGGCCAAGACGGGGCCTAAAACGGCGCCGAGGAGCGGAGTGGCATTCCCTCCGCTCCCCACTCCGACACCCCTGCCGGGCCCCTCCGCACCTGCCCCCTCCAACGAGGGTTGGCAGGAGGCGTGGGGCTCCAAGAAGTCCCGAAGGCGGGCCAAAAAGGCTGCCAAAAAAGCAGCCCAAGCCCAGCCTTCGCCACCGGTGGCAACGGCCTCCACAAAGAGGCCGCGGAAGCTGCAGCCGCCCAAAACCGCGGCTGTAGTGGTGACCGTGTCCCCGGAGGCGGCGGACGGCGGGCTGTCCTACGCGGCCGTTTTCAAAAAGGCCCGGGACAGCCTCGCCAACGACTTTGGGACGGTGGGGGTCAGGATGCGCCTCGCCCAGACGGGAGCTCGAGTCCTCGAGTTCCCTGGGGCTGAAGGCGCAAAGACGGCGGACTCCTTCGCTGAGAAGCTGCGGGGAATATTTGCGGCCACAGATGGTGTCAGGGTCGCCAGGCCTACCAAGTGCGCGGAACTGCGCATCTCGGGCCTGGACGACTCAGTGACGGCCGAAGATGTCCGCGCTGTAATCCGGGAGAAGACGGGGTGCAGCGCGGACAACGTCAGGGTCGGCACCATCCGCCCCGGTCCAGGAGGGCTTGGCGCCGTGTGGGTCAGCTGTCCCGTAGCGTCGGCCAAAGTATTGGCCGACGCCGGCAGGCTGCTCATCGGTTTCGTGAGCGCCAGGATCACAGTCCTGGCGGCGAGACCGATGAGGTGTTTTAAATGCCTGGCCACGGGACACACGCGCGTCAAGTGCGACAGTTGTTTTGACTGCGGCGGACTGTGTTTCCGCTGCGGTCAACCGGGGCATAAGGCGGCAGAATGCTCTGCCGCCCCTCACTGCCCAGCGTGTGCGGCGGGCAATAAGCCCGCCAATCACCAGATGGGGCAGAGAGGCTGCAAGCCTCCCCGCAGTTCTCGGCAGACGTCAGGGGCTAGCCAGTCGACCCAGGCTGCCTCCGACGTAGTACGTGCGTCGTCGTCGTCGCCCATGGAGGAGGTTGTAGAGACGATCCAGTAATGGATCAAGTCTCCAACCTCCTGGTCCAGACGAACCTGAACCACTGTGCCGCGGCGCAGGATCTCTTCCTGCAAACCATGGCACAGTGGTCGATAGGTGTTGCCGTAGTCGCGGAGCCCTATTCTGTCCCTCCCCGTCCAAACTGGATGGGTGACTGGGACGGCTCCGTGGCAGTCGTCGGTTCCACGACGGCTCATTCCCCGCCCTTGTCGCTAAGAGACAAGGGCACTGGATATGTTGCCGTCGAGTGGGGGGGGATCACCATATATGGTGTCTATTTCTCCCCCAACCGGAGTTTGAACGACTTCGAGGTTTTCCTAATCAGCTTGGAGACCTCGATACGGCGACTAGCGTCTGGGCACGTCCTTGTGCTGGGGGACTTCAACGCAAAGTCCATTGCGTGGGGTTCCCCCAGGACGGACGCCAGGGGCGAGGCCGTAGAGGAGTGGGCGGCCTCGGTGGGCCTCTGTCTTCTAAACAGAGGCTCCACCAACACGTGCGTGCGACAGCAGGGGGGGTCGATAGTGGACCTCTCGTTCGCTACCCCTGCCCTCGCCGCACGAGTAAGGAACTGGCGTGTCCTGGAAGAGGTTGAGACGCTCTCGGATCACCTGTATATCCGATTTGAGCTCTCCCGGACCCAGGACTCCAGTAGGGGTCACGTGGCGCGGCGTTTATCCCGCTTTCCGCGGTGGGCTGTTGCCAGGCTGAACCGGGACCTACTAGAGGAGGCAGCCATAATTCACTCGTGGCTGTCTCCTCAGGCTCCGACCGAGGAGGTCGACGTGGGGGCTGGCCGCTTTCGCGATGCGATTACGCATGTATGCGATGCGGCCATGCCCCGCGTTCGAGGTCGTCGGCCTCCAAGGAAGGAGGTCTACTGGTGGTCCCAGGAGCTGGCGGACCTCCGTGCGGCCTGTACACGTGCCCGGAGGTCCTACACACGCAGTCGGTCCTACACACACACGTTAAAAAAAAAAAAAAAAAAGGCAATGTAGTAGTGGAAGTACAGTTATTATGATCTGTAGTTGTTGTAGGTAATTTTTTCGAGTGAGCAATCTCAAGTCTTGGTTTCTTTGTGAAAAATGAACCTATTTTTTTAAATGAACTGCCACCTACGCATATACTATTACGTTTCAATCCACCACTATCATCTCCTTTTCCCTTAGAGTCACTCTGCAACCAAAACCATGCATATTTCACACCACACACTGGTTAGTTAGGTTAGTAAGCTCTGCGCATTCAAGGTCAGCGCTCATAAACCATTGCGATACTTATACATAAGTCCATAGAGTAACATAACCTAATAGAGTTGTCACTCTAAAAAGTCGTATGCAGCGCCACTCGTGGTGTGAACATAAACTAATATTATTAAAAACATAACCATAAATATTATACTGTATGTATATTTGTCAGCTAGGCAGCTCAGTAGAGCAACAAATCATATTTTAACTTCATTATACGATAGAATTTTCTATCGCACAATGAAGTTTATTATTTTTTATGTTCAGGGAATGGAAAATAAAAAATATATTATTTCTTTCTCTTTATTCTTTTCTTATTATAATCAAATGCCATTATTTGTATCGAGTCTTCCTGATCAACATCAGTTCTTGCGCCATTTATAATTTTATTTACATCTTTGCACCAACTATATAGAAATAAATTACATGAAACATCTTCTAAATACCGTATTATATCACATTTATGATTTTGGCATAAAATAAAATTGTAATCTACGTGCACTGCTAACATGGTCTTTATATAAGATCTTATATTTTTCCATTTAATATTATGTCTAATAATATAAATGACAATATCTTGTATATGTGAAAAACATTTAATTAAGCTTGTAGCAGGGTATGTCAAACATTTTTTATTTTGAAGTCTCTCTTTCAAACCTATATATGAGTTGTTATCTTCGTCTATTAAATTATTTTTACATGAAATACAATTTTTGAATACTTTCGTTTTAAGTTTTCTTAAGACATACCCTGCTACATACTGTAATTGTGCAAAAGTTTTTGCATTCCTTTTTTTTATTTCTATGTCTATCAAAATATTGTCATTTAATAATAGATCATCATCAATTTCTATAAGAAAATTATTGTCTTCAGATTTTTCAAAAAAAATATTATTTATTGATTGGAAGACAGTGCATGAGTCTTGCTCACAGTTTGACCCTGGGGAGTGATTGGCACTTAAATTATTTATAAGCAAAGAGGAAAAGGCGGCTTCAAAGCCAGCACATGAGGGTGTTATATTTCTGTACCCATGGCTTCGAATGCTACCAAAAAAATTTTCTAATGGGTCTTGGTTGAAGTGCCTCATCCACAGAGATGCCAAATCATATTGAGTAAATATTTTTTGAACTAAATATTCTATATTTTCAATACTTTGCAGCCAATTAGTTATTGAAGGTACGACAGTGTATCCATTACTGGTAACAAACTTCATTGTTTTTAATACTTCTTTTGCTTCTCGCCATATTTTATGATGTCCAGAAGATGGTGTAACTGGTCCAAGCAATGGTTTGCCAGACCTCTTTTTTGAATTTTTGTGACTTCCATTTAAAGAGTCGAACAAATTGTCAAGAAATAAAAATAAATCAGCTGTTTCTTTACAATCCTTTGAAATTATTCCTTTACCTGGAAAAGGACAAAAACAACGTTTATGAAAATTAAGCATAAATATATGAATTTTATTTTATAATAATCATATTGCAGTATTTATTTATACTCATTATGTGATTACATCAGAAAATTCCAAAATACAAGCATATTTCATTGTAGAAGGATAGACATACAACTGTTACTGTTATTTAATTTTATCTTGCTGCTGAATAAAAATATTTTTTAAAACAAGGTTTTATTTAAATGCTTGTATTTTGTAAGAGTTTTTACAAGCCTGGCCTCTGACATGGCCTGTCGCAATCTTAACGATAGCAACTGGGACCAACGGCTTAACGTGTCTTCCGAAGGACGACCAGAACGGAATAAGCAACACAAAGACTTGTTCCGCCGGGAATCGAACCCGGGACCCTTCGTGTATTGGGCACTTTCAAGTCCATAGCAAAAGCAACTACACCTCAGAGGTCGTCCTTGCCTTGTCGTCCGTGTTTGCCTTAGGTTTGATGTAATTAAAAGTTTTTTTCTAATTGCAAGATTCCACCCGAACATACATAGTTACATACATACATTGCAAGTTAAATCAAAACTTGTAATAAAACCAATGCAGAGCTCATCACATGCTACACCTGTTGACTGCACAAGTAAATTAAAAATAATGTTTGATAACTTACTTGCCAAATATCCCATGTTGACTGATACAGATTGGCTAAAAAGCTGAGATGCACATTTAACTTTCATTTTGGCTATCTTCTCAGGCACAACATGTTTGTCAGTTAATTTTGGCATTAACCTTATACCCTTTTTTTTTTTTTTTTTTTTTTTTTTTTTTCCCGTGCGGAAATCCCCTCGGATACCACCTGTCGGTGGACTCGAACCGACTAAAACCGCACGCCTTCGCCGGGTACTAATAGCCGGGGAACCAGGTATACCCTAGAAAGGAAGGCCCTGGTGCCCCGACATACCTCGGGTCATCTACAGACGAGTAGACGACCCCCGCCCCGTGTGGGAACCCCATGTTCCCTGTGCTCCCTGGAAGCGAGCGCGCTTCGCAACGCGCTCGCCGCCTCCCCGGCCTGCTTCTGCTAGGGTGACAGATGGCCTCACCTGTCACCCCCAGGCCTGCGCTTATGGAGGACGGAGGTCGTTCTGCGACCTCCGGCGCCTGAGTCGCCTGCGCTGCCTGGCCCGTGCCCGGGCCTGGCGGGCCGGGAGAGTTCTAAACCTCTCCCGGTCCCGCTCCGCCGTCTCCTTCGCGAGCATAACTTGCTCGCAGAAGGAGACGGCAGAGTTCCACGCACTCTCGCTCCGCACGATAGCCGCAATCAGGCTATCGAGCGAGAGAACTCCCACTCCGATGGCCGCCACGAGGTCTCGCCTCTGCTCAACCCACGCCGGGCACTCTGCCAGCGTGTGGAGAGCCGTGTCCACGGTCTGGCCATCGCAGTGGTGGCACTCAGGCGTTGGCTCCTTGCGGATCAGACACAGGTGATCTCCGAAACATCCCTTCCCAGTGATCACCTGCGTCAATCGGTATGAGAGGGTCCCGTGACGCCTCTCGAGCCAATCCTCCATAACGGGTCTTACCGCCGCAATGACGGCGTGCCCGTAACCTTATACCCTGGTAAGCTGGGTCTTCTTTGTACAACTGCAAAACATGCTCCCATTTTGCAGTTTTTTCTTCACCACCTATCTTACATTTTAAGTTCTTTGTAAGTAAATTATTACGAATCCCCTTTAGAAGATGTGGGGTATCATATATGGGGATAATTTCTTCATCATCAATTTCGAACACCTTATTTCTTTGTTCTATATTATTTTTTAAATATTTTTCTTTTGTTTGTTCAATTAGATAATTAATCGCACTGACATTTGCACAGCCCTGGTCACAAATGGTCCCCATAACCTTAAATCCTGCTGAGTTCAATTTTCTTATAATATTTTTTATTTGAGCTGCTAGCTCAGCCTTGGATGTACTACCAGCGCAAAAAGTATACGCAACAGCTTGTTTGTAGTTATAATATATGCCTCTAATCATGAATACCAAAGCATGGTCAGCTATTTTATTGTGCGTGACTTCTCCATTGTCGACAAAACCAATAATTGCATCTCGTTTTCGGTTATAATCAAAATGGGGCATCAATGAAATTTCGTCAAATAAGAGCAAACAAAGCTTTTGTTTTGTGTTCATCCTTTCAGCTCTAGTCTTTAATTCTTTAAAAATATTTTCATTTATTCCAGCTTTCAATGATGCTGTGGAGATCATTCTACTGAGTGTTAGGGGGGATGGTAATTGTAATAATAAAAAATTAAAATTTTTTAAATTAAAGTGTTGGGTCTGTTTTAAAGAAAATAAAACTAAACTGGTGGCATCAAATAGAAACAAAACAACAAAATAAAAGTCTCGGGCGCCAGATACCACCTTAAAAGAACACAGAACCCACCACAAACACAACAAATACCTCGGACATCTCAGCCAATATTGAACCTTTTTAAAACAAGGCGGGAGGCAACTAATGAATACAAGATGTTAAATTCTAATGGCTGTTTATTATCCCGTAGTGTCTGTAGGGTACAATGTGTCTTATGTCTCTAATTACAATAGGTAATTCTTATACACAAATTAGTACTGTCATTAATGCAATCCTTTCCAATAAGAAAAATATAAGGTTAAATAAGTTTTAAGAGTCACATAAAGACTAAATAGACAAAACAGTAAACTCTAAGGGTAGACATAGCATTGACCTACTCTCTAATGAAAAATACCACCCCTTGGGGACCTGCAGTGTTCAATGCCACGTCGCCAAGAAAAATATAACAAAACTAAAACACATACCAATGACCTTGGATCAGTCCGAATGAAATGAAATCAAACCAACTCCGAAACTTCTCACTCCGGATCCCACGTGGTGGAAGAGGCGGGTCAGCACTCCCAGGCTCCAGACAATGGCGTACAGCTAAGCAGCTTTTCCTACCATTCTGGCGCTCCACAGCAAACCAATTTCCTGGGGTCAGGACGGCGAGAGACAAAAACCGAATGCCACCAATGACATTCCAGTAAGAAAGTAAAGAAATTTAGGTATTGTAAAGACTTTAGATAAAAACTAAAAAAAACCCTGATTCATCTGCAAATAAGGAAAAATTATAGGTTAAAAGCCTATCTCACAAGATGAATCCTGACTCTGACAAGAAATCATAAATCACTTACCAGGGTCCCAAAATGTTTCACAAATTAAGCAGCGGCATTATAAGCATTGCCTGTAACCAATTAAACAAAGAGTTAAAACCACAAATTCCGCCAAGCCAAGCGTGAAGCACGTGGCCGAACAAAACTTACCTTTTCAACAAAAATAATCACTCGAACCAATAGCTCGAGTCCTAACTAGGTTGGCCAAACATTTAAAGAGGAAATAGGCCCTCGTCCATAACAAATAAATAAGGATTACTAATAAATTAAATGACACAAACTAGCTTCGCTTCATTTCATTCGGCGGTCAGTCCAAAAGTGACCTAACGGGTTGCCAGAGCAAAAGCTTGTCGCTCCTTAGAGCGGGGAAACAAAAATGTTGCCAGGACAAGAAAAACTAAATCGACTAACTAATCGCGGGCGAACAACATCGATTATTACTCTCGTCCGCCCCTCGACCATCGGCACACGCAGAAACGACAAAAAAATTCAACCTAACAAAACAAAAACGAGACTAAGGTTCAAATTACTGTAATGGTGCGAAATGCACCGTTACATAATATAAAAATATTTCTGAGCCATCTGTATGCTCTTGGTCCCTGTTTATACAGAGCTAATGCTAAAACCTTTTCTTCTTTCTTAAATCTCCTACCCATTTTTAATTTTTTGCTTTCACGAAACTGCATCATCATGAATAATAAACCAGCTGCAGTAAAGGACACCGACAGCTTTGTATGGGACCTGGGCCAAGGGGTGGACATTTTTATATTGAAATAAAAACGTTACTAGGTAGTAGCTGAAGCTATGTAGAAACCAATAATATAATTAATTTAGTATCCAGGCCTATAAAAAAAAAAAAATTGATTTTTGCAAATATTTAATTTCAATTGTCGTCACCATCACTTTCATACACAATCAAAATATTATCCAGAAACTGAGCTGGAGGAGTAACATTCTCATACCTTGCCCAACTTAGATACCAGATTACGGACATAATGTGAGAGCAACAACCCACAGTTCTTCGACCAACAATGCAGTTACAGTAATACTCTTTAATTGCATTTAAATGCTCTATATTACTGTCAAATAATATATAAATAAAATATGTTTTCCTACTTATGTGTCTGCTTTGTATTTTGGCCCTTAATAATGTGCAATTGTCGGCTGAAGGAAGACTTGGCAAAAGGTTGCTGGCTCTTTCTATACAAACTTCGACTGTATATGAACCATCACTTCTTATGTGTTCTCCAAAATATGACCTAGCCTGTTTTATTTGATAAGTTCCACATGCTAACAAAACAAGTTCATTATATTCTAATCTTGGAAACATCAGATTATCCATACTGACATGAATGTCAGAGAATTTAATATGACATAATCAGCCATCATATTCTCCATATTTATTTTTTCTAGAATTCTGTTAAGTATCAAGCCTGCATCAGGTCTATCTGATATTCTAGCGTGGAACCTATTTATCAAGGCAGCAGCTATTCTGAAATCTGATATTGCATGGGTTGAAGCAGTGTTAAAAAATTCACTTCGAAATAATTTATATGACATTTTGAAAATCCCATTCACTACTTCAACCACCCATCTGCAAATAGTCACTGTTCGTGATTTATTTGCTGCTGCTGTCGATAACTGTGTTTGACCTTGTTGCAGACACAGCGGCACATGTACACTGTATTGACAGTCTTCTAATAAGGAAACACAATCTCTGAAACCCCTATCCAGAATAAAAACATCGCCAGGTTGAAAATACCTTCTTAAAGCAGTGGTATTATTTTTAAATTCATTAGACAATATATTTGCATCCGATGTTGTTGCAGGATATGGACCTAATACGTCTATAATATAACCATCTGAACATACCATCAAAAACGGCTTCATCAGGTTTCTATACTTGTGTAAAGAATAAGTATCTTTCTGGTACTTATAGTTGGAACTCTTCTGTATGTATAAATAGGTACCGTCCATTATAATTATGGGTTTCCTTTCTTCACCTCCAAAGAGCCCATTGGGTATAATCAGATTTCTCTCTGATATTTGGTCACGAGTTATGTGATTGTTTCCTAGATTTCTAGGCACAAAGTCACAGAGTAATACTTCACGCACTCTATTTATGTAGGTGCCCAAAGTGGTCCAAGGTACATTTAACAACATAGAAAGTCGCTCGTTAGAGTCACCAGTTCTTATTTTAATGAGAAATGCTGCAAGAGCTAAAGTGCTATTTGGCACCCTGTTTATATTAGGTACATCTGCTTTTATTTGCATAAACTGGTCCTTAGTTACTCCAGTCCAGTAATAAATTATGTCATCAGTCATTCGCTCCATTTTACTAAAATCTAAATGTAATTTCCTTTCTTTGACAAAGGAAGCAAAGTCTTGTATGTGACTAGCACTAAAATAATGAAGGGACTGACTATCATCTTCAATTATGTGCAAATTGTCATTTCGTAGATGGAATTGGCAAATTCGACATTGCTGTGGGATATAATAATTATACTCTGTAAATATATGTACTCTCAGCCACTTGGGAATCCTCAATCTCTCTTCAGAGTTACAGCCAGGGAAAAAACATTGTGATTGGGTATCAGCCGCTCTTCTCAAATCCGGTAAATGGATGGTTCCTTCTGGATTCTGGATTTCACCTTCACCTTCACTAACTCTCTCCACATTTCGAGTAACTTGCCTATTAGCTCTTTGCCAACAAGGATGACAAATTCTGTCAGATGCTCTCAACTAAAACAAAAATAAAATGGTATTGGATTTTTTTCTTAACTTATAGAATGCAATATAATCCTTACTGCATGTCAACTTGTCTTATTTTTGTATAGGTACTCATTTTAATTGAACTAGATAAATAACACTAGCTATTTGCATATCTCACAGTATTATGGGGAGATCATAGGTTCACAGAACTTTACTTTTAAAGAAAACTACTGCAGGCTACTGTATTGCAAGAAGTAGTATAATTATGTTACACTTCATTTATTACTAAACTACCATTTTAAACATAATTATCTGTTATGAGAAATAAGAAAACTTACCTCGAGTGGATCAATCCAATGTACAATAACATTTCTTATGCGTCACTCCCGCTCTGAGTCAATGTTAAGGTTATGAGACCTATGTCTCATAAGCGACGATTTGCAGCTTACACATAGTTGTCTCTGACGCCCTGAGTCAGAACTTGATGAGGCTTCTTCATTTGGGATTGACACATTAAGAGTGTTCAATGCCACAGTCCAACATGAATGACATATTTGACTGTGACCTTCAATCTGTTGACAAATCAAAAATAAAAGTCAGCATTTATTACTTTTTGTTCATTAGATATATTATGCATTCAAAATAGTATTTAGTGCATTTGCATTCATTACCCATTTAAGTTGAAACATAAAATACTTACTACTTGTGGTGCAATCCATTGAAGAATTACATGTCGCACTTCAACTAAGTTAAGACTATGTCTCCTTCTATGAGTCACATCAGAAGCACAATTGATACAACGTATGGATTGATCATCATTATTAGGCATATTCAGAAAATCCGTGTTCAGGCATAAGTCGTCATGCAAATCAGGTTCAACATCCAATGAATTGCCAGGGTCAACGTTTGAAGAGGGTACAGGGTCCAAAAGTAAGCCGGGGTTGTCGTGAGAAGAATGATTAAAATCCATTTTGAATACAATATCCAAAAATAAACAAATAACAAATAGTAATACCGTGCGCGCCTAAGCCAATGCCAGATATGACATTAGTCAAATGTTGTTAGAGTAAGAAAAAAATATACCCATGTGCTGTTTAATATTCTTCATCATAATTTATTTTTAGACATATATTTTGTCTTAAAAGGAGATATATATATATATAGAAAATATAAATAATTATATCTTGTAGGTATTACAGACTCCAAAGTACTTTTTAAGTGAGACTATAATTTATTAGTGTGTTTTTTTTATTCACTTTTTCCACTACTTATTTTTTGTATGCAACACTTCGACACATTTCGCGCACAAAATGAATGGATGTACGTCATAAATAATGATAAATATTTTGAAATACTTTTTTTATATATGTTCACTTGATACTACCAAATTGTACTCATAATTATTTTATAATAAAAGAAAATTATGACCATTTTCATTTATTTATAAAACTGCTGTCCGCACCTTGGCCCAAATCGGTCAGCCTCCTTTGCTTACTGCCTTTTGGAATGTTGCATTTTCGGATAATTTCAAAGCCTTTTTCAACCTTGTCACCATGGAGTTCTTGGACAGTTGGAGCTTGTGCAATTTCTTTTGAAGCCAAGATGCTTCATTTGAGTATCTCTCAGATAAAGGCAGATTTTTTGCACCTGTAAGGTAAAAATAAAAATAAGCTATACAATATACTTCCAAGATATTCAAGTGATGCCATAAATAATGATTATTCCAAATACTCTTTGGCATAGTCATTATTTCACAAATCCCAAACATTATAAATATGGTTATTCTTAATACTTATGACTTTCATTTATTATTTTAACACAACCTCTAAAGACAAATATAAACATACAATAACCATAATTTACTTTATCAATGATCTTCTTCTTCATCGTCTGGCTGGTTAGGCCTGGAGCCAGTGTTTACAAGCTGCCCTTCTGGCCTCTGACATGGCTTGTCGCAATCTTTAATATAGCAACTAGGACCAATGGCTTAACGTGCCTTTCGAAGCACGACCAGACCGAAACAAAAAGCACAAATACTTGTTCCGCCGGGAATCGAACCCGGGACCTTTCGTGTATGGGGCGCTCAAGCTTTCTTGCTTTTTCGTTAAAATGTTACAAAATATTGTTATGATTCATAATTTAGTGACTAATTTGCTGAAAATAAAGACGTGTTTAGTAAACAATACGATAATACAATTTCTTTCATCCTACTAATATTATAAACGCGAAAGTTTGTAAGTATGGATGTTTGTTACTCTTTCACGCAAAAACTACTGAACGGATTTGGATGAAACTTTACAGTAATATAGCTTATACATCAGAATAACACATAGGCTACTATTTGGCGCGATCACCGACATATACGCGGGCGGAGCCGCGGGCAACCACTAGTTAAACATATTAAAACATGAGTTTTCATGTAAAATGTAGGTAGGTGGGCCGATTTTTGTGATGACCAGTGTATTTTAGGTATCTATTTATGTTTTAAGTTAGTAAAACCGAGGTTATACTAAAAATGAACTAGGCAAATCTTTTTTGTAAAATCTGAAGTGAGAGATAATCCTACTAATAAGGTTACTTTTTAATCTTACCTTTCAACACAGGAGAATCTGTTGATTTGTTCTCCACTTTTTCAATGCTGGCTTTTGAGGTAGACTGAACTAGTTCCATACTTTCAATATTAAATTTAGAGGTTGATGGAAATCCTGAAATAATGATTATTACTTTTTAATTATCATTCATGACATTTGTTAATTTCTCTAGCTATTTGCTAAGTTGTATATATATGTATTTTGATTTTGAATGAAAGTTAATAAAGTTTAATTAAATTATTTTAAAACTGATGTACAAATAACCCTGTATGATACAAATGGATACAACAAGGGACAAAAAGGTAAAAGTGCTAGTTAATAAATGGCATTAATATCAGCATAAGATGTAAAATAAACTTAATATTACCATCAAGCACAGGTTGCTTAGTTGATGTCTTATCATTGTTCGCTTTAGAGGTAGATTGATGATCGGTTTCAACATTTTCCAAATTGCAGAGAGTATTGGTGATATTTTTCAAAGGAAGGCTCTTAGAGATTGAAAACCCTGTAAATATGTTATACATTTTAGGAAATGAATGGTGATCATATTTTTATTTCAACAAAAAACTTCAAGTCTAAACTACATTTAAATATAATTATATATTTAAATTTAAATCATATAAATCAATTTACTACCACTCTTTCTAATCGCAGACACATTTTGGACCTCTATTTTCTTCATAAATTAATGAATAATAATATACAGTACAATAATCTATTTAAAAAAATATCTTTAAATATTCCTCTCTTACCCCAGACATAAAATAGTTAAAATATTCCACACAGAATTTTGCAGAACTAATTTAGGCCAACAATCACCCATAAATAGAACCCTCAACCAGTACAATAGTATACAAATTCATGGTCCATGGTCAAACCTGTAGTATTATGCTTTGATTATTATTAATTTTAATTCTTACAATACTACATTACAGTAAATGCTATGTACACCGTAATTGTCATACCATACATATCAGAAGTAATGTTGTATATTGTTAAAATTAGTTATAAGTATAATATGTATGATGTGGTGTAGTACTTATTACTAAATAAATAAATTTAATTGAATTTTAATTGGCAATTTGTACAGATTATTTTATCAAGTGTCTTTCTGAAGGGTAAAATTGAGTATAAAAATACGTATACCACAAGGAATACATTTTATATTAAAATTATGATATACCTGGCAAATTTAATGTTGGCACCGCGTTAGCTGCAAGCCGATTGCTTCTGGTTAAGTATTTAGATTCAAAATGTTCATGGCAAATCCGACGTAGTTTGAAAATAACACTATTTTCAAGCGCTAGAATGTCACCACCGACTGCATAGATCCAAGTCCGAAACCTCTCCATATCCAAATTCGGATTAGGAAACAAATGCATTATCGTATTGTTTGAGCCTGCAAATATATCAGTTAAAGTAATTTTTCTTTCATAAACCAGGTCTAATCAAAAACTAACATAAATGTTATGTTTACTTACGACTATTATCGCAGTTAGGTACACAGCACTTATGCACCGACATTGTCACCAAAAACCAAAACGGAAGCTTAAATAAAATGTCCAATAATACACGCCGATGGTCAGATAATAATATAGATAACAGAGTCCGTAAGCAGTCCAAGTCAGAGTTCAAAAATCCACGAAATCGCTGAGAAAGTACGTCCATTCACTCGAAAGTTAAAACAGAAGTAAGAAGTGTCAAAAACTTAAAATGTCAAAACTTAAGAAAGCGGGAAAAGCTGCGTTCTTTTATTTATTTATCAAAAATTTATTAAATTAAATTTTATTATCAAAAAATATGTGCGTTTGGGAAGCATTCAGGCAATTTTTGCTTTTTGTAAATTTATTTTAATTAAAATATGTTAAATACCGCATTTCTTCATTTTTATTTAAACATTACATCCTCAAGTAATTATACATTTTATGCATGAATTGAAACGCACTGAAAAAAGGTATTCTTGCATTTTTTGGTTACAGCACCATCTATTGCTGTGTACATAAACTAACGCTTCATATAATACGACTAAATTGGAAATAGCTACTAAAGTATACGTGCGCGACAAATTTAAAGTATTTTTTTAGCGGTCGCATAATAATCTGCCTCATTTCTTTTGAGTTTTATCACCGTGCATAAGTCACACTCTTTCAGTAAGTAGGTACCTATACCTACTTATCTATCTACGCGGTAATCTAGGAACATTAACAACAATAACATTTGAGTTTAATTGAACACACACCACACGCTAGCATAATGAAGAAACTGAGGCTAAAATTTCCTTTTCCGTACATCGATTTTGGGGCTGAAATTTTTTTTCAGGATATATTACACTATTATAAGCACACACGTAAAAGTTTCAACACGCGGAGACCCATAATTTTTGAACAAAAAAATATTGAAAATCAATTATTTTTGCAATTCTTCTGTCAATATTACACTAAGATTATATAAAATTCTCATCACGAAACGTTTCGTTTCATCTATGGTTAAGTTGTCATACGTTCCGTAACATTTTATTTTACATAAATTTACGTAAATAATTATATTTTGTACTCATTTAAATAGTTTTCATGCACACATATATTTAAGAGTTTATATACACGGTGATTTTGAAAGCGTTTTGGAAACGAAACATTTCAATTTGGAATCATCTATAGTACCAATAAAAATGATTAAATCAATTGTAATGTTGTCTAAAAAAAAATTTCAGTTTTAATATTAATTTTTACTCGATCGACTTGGAAAGTAGTAGTGGACTGATCATTCATTCATTATCTTATATGAATGAAACACGTCCGTGCGTTTCGGCGGCCGCTGCGCACCGCTGACGCTAACAGCAGCTGATAAAAGTATACCTATAGGCGCGAGCTAGCGAGTACTTACGTAGATAGACTCCAATTTGTCCTTCATACTTTACACGGGCTTAGGATCGTCGGAAATACCTATTTTATTTAAACTTCTTTTCGATTATTAACAAATCAATTTATCAACGGACTGTAGGTATAAATATTTCAAGCGTATTTAAAAAATCGGAGCTTTCTACAGAATAATTAACTTACATACCTATTTACACTATTTACACTTCTCTGTATCGAAGCAACTGCTGGCCCTCCTCGACCTATCCACCGATCACTTAACTCATTGTCCAGGTATGCACGCACTACACTCCGGCGAATAATAATTTAAACGTCCTTGACCTTGCGCGTGAGCGCGCGACCTTTATGTGACTCGATATTAAAACGCATAGTATTTCTATTCGTAGTATTTACCTACTTGCGATTGAAAAGCCCTACTACTGGTTTCTTCTTTTCTCTGTAATCGATATGAATATCGACTTTGATGATAAAAATATTTGTTGTTCTTTGATGATATATATATATTTTATTAAATTAACGTTATATATAGCTTCTGTTACTGATAAATAACTCAAAATTTTCTTTTCCAAAACGCTTTCAAAATCACCGTGTATATTAAATTACAGCATTATTTTCATTACAAGCTATTAAAATGTGTAGTGTTTACCGTCTTTAGCCGACTTGTGCAACGAAACGTAAAACTCCGTCCTGCAACGAGTTGTCATACGTTCAGGAACATTTTATTTTAAATAAATTTACGTAAATAATTATATTTCGTACTCATTTAAATAGTGATCATGCACACATATTTAAAAGTTTTTATATATATGAATAAATAAAATGTGTAGTGTTTACCGTCTGTAGCAGACTAATGGAACGAAACTTAAAAATCCTTTCTGAAACGTCTCCGGCGCTGCGGGAAATGCAGCCTCTACGCCCTTGAGTAACAAATCGTAGGCATCCGTCCTCGCCTCCGCAGCTGCGATTTGTTACAGCGGGCGGAGGCTGCTCTCCCTACGCGCCTCCGGTTCTATAAAAACACTCTAGGGGTAGGACAGAGTCGTACCACGTGGAGTCGGGGTCAATCAATTCGGTTCTGTGACATAAGTTGAACCTAACCTAAATTATTTGTTACTGCCCTAACAGGTACTGTCATGCTATAATTTATCATATATAAACTGTTAAATATATGTGTGCATGAAAACTATTGAAATGAGTACAAAATTTAATTATTTACGTAAATTTATGTAAAATAAAATGTTACGGAACGTATGACAACTTAACCATAGATGAAACGAAACGTTCCGTGATGAGAATTTTATATAATCTATGGTAAAGCTTGTCATTAACCCTTAAATGCATGAATTAATAAATTGTACTGAAAAAAATGGTTTCAATTCTTTAGAAGCTGTGAAAAAGGGGAAAAAAATAAAAAAAAAAACAAATAAAATTTTATAGGTTTTTAATAAAAAAATCAAGTTGATGCATTTTTGGGACATTATGCAAAATAGTCTTAAAAAATGCTTTTATTAATTAACTGTGGAATAAGTTGAAACAATCGTTTCCTTTCTTTGCACAAAGGAATACATTGCACTTTGTGCATTTTACAAAGCTCTGTAGCTTACAGCCAGGTCTCTTGCACCTCATGCGTTGGTCGGTTTTAATTTGGCTATGACCAAGATTGTCTAACCGAACGTCAGACGGTGGAAGAACCTGGCACCCTTTCTTTCTTTTTGCCTTTATGGTTTCAGTGATGCTGCTGTTGCTAGGACGTCCTCTTGTTGGCTGGGTCGTAGTACCATAGGTACATAAGACATCAGCCAGCTCTGACCTGAATTCTGACAGATTTTTCAGCTTCTTTGGATCTGCTCCTTTTCTTGTCTCTACAGTTTTGTATAGAACCCAAGAGTTTATAATAGTTAAATCTAAAAGGTGGTAAAAAATCCTCATATACCATTTCCTGGTCTTGACTTTTATTCTATATCTGCCCAAAAATGAATCCATGAGATCAACGCCCCCCATATGGGCGTTGTATTCTTTGACTATTTTTGGGCAGTCTATAATTATTTTTTTCTTTTCTGTTTTGTCATACCGTTCGATGGACTGTATTGGTTCAGCTCCTACGTAGGTCGAGAGCAGAACTACTTGTTTGTTATCTTTCCAGCTCACTGAAGACATGTCGACCCCATCAATATGTGTAATATATTCCACATACGACCCTCTTGGCACTTGTTTTTTCATTACATCCTGCTTTGAGGGTAATTTACATTTCTTACCTAGGCGGTTTCTTTGAACAGTTCCTACACATTGTATTCCTTCTTTAGCAAAATAATACATCAAGGGCAATGTGGTATAGAAATTATCATGGTATATAATGTGATTAGCATGTCTGGGAATTATTCTAGCAAGTTTTATCACTGTTTGTGATACAACCCCTATATCAGGCTCGTTAGGCAAACGATCATCTTTTTCTTTGCCAGCGTAAATTATAAAGCGATAAGCAAAACCTGTCAGAGAACACAATACAAATAATTTAAAACCCCATTTATGGGGTTTATTAGGCAAGTATTGTTTTAAAAAATGGCCCATCTTGGTGGCACACATTTGCTCATCGATGGATAAGCGCTGACTGATTGGAATGCTGGAGAACTTGGTATTGAGATGTTCAATTACAGGGCGTAGCTTGTGAAGTCGGTCATGCTGGGGATGATCTATTGGTAGGTGTTTATTGTTATCGTTGAAGTGAAGTACTCTTCTTATTTTTTCAAATTTATTGACAGGCATCGCTTTTATAATTGCCTCAAACCCGTGCTTGTTAGCCCAATAACCACGTACACTTGGATAGTGGTAGACACTCATATAAATCAAGATTCCCAGATATTTTCGCAGTTCTCCTAATGTTATGACGTCAGGTCTATCAGGTTTATTTTGTACAGCATAATTATTTGTTTCAGTAACAATTTGTGAAAGAAATTCTTCAGTAAAAAAGTAGGAAAAAAATTGGAAAGGTGCCTGAAGGTTCATCAAACTTTCAGGGTATTCTTCAGTTCCATTAAATTTTATGGCATTTTCGTTGAATGGCAGAGGTTGGTTTTTCCATATCAACCTCTGAATGTCTAAAGAATGTACCGGTGCATCATTATTATTTGAAGGAACAGCATCCGCTGTTACAATAGGAGGATCGGGTATAATTTCTTCGTTATTATCATTAGACCTAGCCTCACCGTCGTCATCATCATTTTCTAAAACATCTAGTAAATCTTGTTGGGTAGGATAAAAATCAAGTTCGTCACCGTCCGATTCGAAATCGTCTTCAGAAATGGCGCCATCTTCTAGCTGGCGCAACCAAAACTCAATGTCACCATCTCTCCTATTATTTTCTGCCATTTCTAAAACAAAATAACCAACCACATGCATACCTCACCAAAGCAAAATAAATAAAATCACAAAATGTATAGCTTCAAATAGCAGTAGTAATTTTTACCAATAGTGCATGCTGTCCCATTTTTGCATCAAAACAAAAAAGCTTCCTGTTCATATAACAATTATGGTAAATTGAAAAAAGGATAAGTTATTGTATAAATAATAGTCATTACCTTTAGAAAACAATTTTTTTTTCTCCAAAATCAGCAAATAACTTCGTGATATATGTCGCCAAAGTGCACTCAACTCAAACCTATTTGAGAAACGCGCGCCAAAAAGTGAAATGTCAATCAGCCACAGATAACAACACAAAATGTCACTAGTTGAGTTATTCTATGGTTAGAGAAGGAGCAAAAGAAACATTTCATACAGCCTAATGTATCAAACACAAATATTATGGACGGATATTGGTGGTTTAATTTGGTGATTCAATTTTGGGACACTATGCGTTTAAGGGTTAATAGTGTAATATTGACAGAAGAATTGCAAAAATAATTGATTTTCAATATTTTTTTGTTCAAAAACTACGCGTCTCCGCGTGTTGAAACTTTTACGTGTGTGCTTATAATAGTGTAATATATCCTAAAAAAAAATTTCAGCCCCAAACTCGATGTACGGAAAAGGAAAGTTGAGCCGTAGTATATCCTGAAAAAAAATTTCAGCCCCAAACTCGATGTACGGAAAAGAAAAGTTGAGCCGAAACGGATTTACCTACTTACTTACTATTTCTTGTAATGTATTTGCAGCAAAAATTTCTAAGAACACTATTACAATTATAATTTTAAAGTTTTTCAACATAATACTATGTTATCTAATACGAGATTAGCAGTTGAAAGAAATGAAGTAAGTTAGTGGTTCCGTTCCGATTGAAGTTAGGTCAAGGGTTACCAACCCTAAAAAATATTTACCCCTAAACATAAGTCGGTGTCACACGAAATGTGACATCAGATGACAGGAGGCGGTGGCGCGGTAAAATTCAAATTTTCGATGCGTTCGTTCCCGAATAATGCGTATGCCATCATACAAAATATTAATTTATAATACTCGTAAATTGATTAAATATTGAAGGTATTTACATAACATCTATATTGTGACAAAAAAATATATCCTTACTTAAAACCATTACCTATGTTTAATAATTTTAAATAGTGGTCCCAGCCTAGGGGGGGGGGGGGGGGGGTCATGACCCCCATGACCCACCCCCTGGATCCGCCCTTGAGTGCCTCACTGTATTGTTGGAGACACCGGGCGCGGATGCCAACGTGAGAACACGTGTAGGTGACAGAAAGTCTACTGCTCTACACCTGGCTGCTGACAGTGGTTTTGTAGACTGTGTAGATTTATTACTCTCCAAAGGTGCTGACGCGAGAAAAACCATAGAGGCTTTACTGCCTTGCATCTAGCGGCTCGTTCGGCTAGCTTTGAATCGTTGCTAAGAAAAGGAAACGCCGACCCAAACGCTAACGACTTTGACATGAGAACCCCTTTGCACGCTGCTATAGGCAAGTCTTACAGTGCATGTGATATAATTGAGACGTTGATAAGTTGGGGAGCAAATGTAAATCAAAAGGACGAATATGGTTTTACTCCACTGCACCTGGCTGCCCTTGACAGTCTCTCAGCGTGCGTGGAGACATTAATTTATCACAGTGCTGACGTAACTACGAGAGCTAAGAAAGGAAACTCGGCTCTTAATGTAATAGCTAGAAAAACACCGGCGTCTCTTGCGATGGTAACTAGAAAATTGGACTGTGCGATTACGCTTCGCCATACAAAGACGAGCAATAGAGAGGTCGAATTGGAATTAGATTTTAGGAGAATTTTGCATCGCTGTTATTCACGTGAAATAAGTTATTTGAACACATTTGTCGATGAGGGACAAAAAGAAGTCTTACTCCATCCACTTTGTTCAGCATTTCTTTACATAAAATGGGAGAAAATACGTAAATATTACGTTGCCAGGTTGTTTCTAAGCTTCATTTTCGTTTTATGTTTAACACTGTATGTTTTGACGGCATTGGCACATAATTGCTATAATGGTAGTAAAGATATGGAGGAGACTATACAAGAGCAAGAACTGTGTCAAAAACAGTCGAGCCTTGGTGATTTGTTAAGGAAAAATCCTTTTGTTATTGAAATGCAATGGTGGGTGCTAGCCGGTATCACAATCTTTGAGATATTCAGGAAAGTTTATGGAATATCTGGATATTCCACAGTAAGACAATATTTAATGCAATCTGAAAATATTATTGAGTGGTTCGTGATCGTAAGCGTTTTCCTCATATCGTATATCTACACTAACCTAACATACACTTGGCAGAAACACGTAGGAGCGTTCGCTGTACTCGCTGGTTGGACAAACCTGATGATGATGATTGGGCAGCTACCAGTGTTTGGCACTTACGTCGCAATGTACCAAAAAGTCCAAAAAGAATTTGCAAAGCTATTGATGGCTTATTCTTGTATCTTAATTGGGTTTACTATAAGTTTCTGTGTAATATTTCCTGATTCCTCATCATTTGCAAACCCATTTATGGGATTCATAACAGTTTTGACCATGATGATCGGTGAACTAAATTTGGATTTACTACTCAATGAACCAGATGGAAATGACCCTCCCATCCTATTAGAGTTCTCAGCACAAATCACTTACGTAGTTCTTATGAATCTGCTTGTGGGTATAGCCGTCAACGACATCCAGGGACTGAGGAAAACTGCTGGTCTGTCAAAACTTGTCAGACAAAAGAAGCTGATATCATACATGGAATTAGCATTATTCAATGGAAATCTGCCAAAATGTCTATTAAAAATTTTGCACTCCTCGGCGTTGGTGTCCCCACAAGCGTGTAGAGTCGTATTGAGCGTTAAACCGTTAAACCCAAGCGAGAAACGACTTCCTCAGGACATAATGATGGCAGCTTATGACATAGCAAAAATGCGAAAGCAATACGGCCACACTATTTCTTCGAGCGGTTCTACAAAAAGGGGGTATTCCTGTTTCGAGAAATATGAAAATAACAATGACAGTGGTTATCGAGAGTACGGGTACTCTACAGGGTTGGGCAGTTTGCAAGCAAGATTAGATGAAACTTCGGAAAATGTTAAGCAGTTGAGGCAAGAAGTGAGAGAATTAAAGAAGCTGATAAACGCCCAACAGCTTGTGTTACAACAAGCGCTCTCCAGCGCGATGGACCGTTGATGATATAATGGATGCCGTTTACTTTCAATGCCACTGTATACAAGTCAATAAACTACAGTGAATATTGTACGATATCGCTCGGTGTATTGGCGGACTTAAATTTGGAGGGGTTTTTTTTTTTGTTATTTTGCTTTATGTAGTTGTACCACTGTTACACCAAAATATTTCGTAGGATAATGATAAAATATAATTGATTTTTGGTGTAATAAGGGAGCTTAGAATTAGAGGATGGAGTTCAGGACTCTATTCATAAACAGTTGAATCGCGGGTTGACTAACAAATGTTGGTTCAAATCCGGTTATTTTGTTAGCTCACATGTCACATGTTAACATAAAACAGTAGGGTGTATCCAAAATTTACGAGCTGGTCCCACATTTAAACTGTGATTCGAACACATGTATTGTACACAATATATGTGGTTTCAATTTTAGGCCTATCTTTTATATGATTATCTTAGTTATTAAATTACAAACTGTAAATGAATGGAGTTCTTACAGTGGTATTTTTGTGAAGTTTGACGCAGAGGACACTGTGATTGTAGCTTTTACATTGTATTAGGTATACTTAGTTCTTTTTGTGATATTAATCGTGTCATTAAAAGTATGTTTTAACAAATATGTGTTCATATCTTTCCTATTTTACATTTAATTGTGTATTCATTCCTATTTAATTTGGGGAGGAGCCACAAATAGGCTGGCTCGACCGGAGTGACAGCGGACTTGTGACGCTTGACCTGTAGGTGTCCACGTTACTTACCATCAGGAGCCTCCTGATCGTTTGCCCTCCTATAACACAAAAAAAATCATTTTTTTTAGGGTTTTCGTGTCCGTCTGTTTGTCAAGACCCTTTATCTCGGTAACGCGCAGAGGTATCAAGTTGAAAATAAAACCATATACCTACTCAGGTCTACAGTCCTTTAAAGATGTAAAAAATCAAACTTCTAAGTTAACATAAAAAAGGATACGGCTGCTTATGCCGCAAAAAACTAATTTTTCAATCAAATAAAATTCATAGGGTACTTCCCGTTGATCTAGAACTATGAAATTTGGTAAGTAACTTTGTTCTATACTACTAGGGAAAAATCTGAAAACTAAACAATATAACAAAACTAAGTAATTAACCCATAACAAATTTAGTCTCATTTAAAAATAAATTATCCAATTCGAGTCAAAAGTGACAGTCACAGATTAAGAGATATGTACATAGTACAGATAAGACACCTCCTGAACAAACGTCATTTCATATGAGTTTGAGTCTTCATGACGATGATGCGCTAGGGGCGCTAGTGAGCCGAACGTAGGCCAGTGCATACCATCAAAATCGTCGTATCGATATCGATAAAATAGTGATGCGAAAAGTCGGTTTCCCTCATTTTGAAATTAGTCTTATTTTTTATTCTTATCATTTTTAAAAAGGTACAAAAATTGAAACAACTTTTAGTTTTTAATCTTATATTTCCTGCTTTTCATAAACTTGTTGTAGTCTAATTTTTGAACTGTACTTAAATTTGCCTATTTTACCTTTCTTTGAACTGTTCCACCCAAAATTAAGTTGATGCCTCGGCACCAATTAAAAATTTGTAATCGTGTTATGATCTTAATAAAATGTTCTTTTAATAGATCTTTATGGGAAGGACAGCCCAACCATTCCAAATTTATTTCTTCTAAATATTTTTGGTTTAACATTCTTGTATACGTATTTTTTATTGCAGTTATGTTCCAAGTATTAGTTTATTGCATTGATTAATTGAGAAAATGCTACAATAATTGGGTACAGGGATACTTTAAGTTTTTGTTTTTTAAACTTTTTCGTTCTCTATACAAAGTTAATTCATGCACATTTGTCAACTCCTTTGTAATCATTGTTTTTTTTTTGCATTTAATACATTTAAACCCCTTACATTATTGATTATGCAACCTGTATGAAAGTAGAAGAAGTTGATATTGCAGCATTCTTCTGTACAATATTTGGCTCTTTTTCTACAATCGTGGTTGCTTGGTATGAATGACATGGGGACAACAATTACTTTAGATTTAATATTGTTGCCCCTACATCATCCTCACAATTTGCATAATTAGAATGAATACTTAGCATATTGGTCATAATCAAGGATTTGAAAGAGTTTTCGAATGTGTATGTATCTGGATTCTTATTTCATAATTGTGAGATCTTATTTTACCAAAAAAGTTTTTCAGGGGATCTTGGTTGAAATTACTTGTATGATAGAACAAAACTTTTTTAGAAAACAAGACATCTTTTAACCTTAAATGGCTTTCTAAGGTTGTCATCACATTATCCAATGTGGGAACATTTTTAATTTTTTTGTGTTCTGCTAGCATGATTAATATATATATAAATTTTAATAGTTTTAATTGCATCAGCCCAAAATACTGCATGTGGTGAATTAAGTTTCACAGGGCCCCTCAATTTCCGGGAGCTTGGCCTCCTCTTGATCCAATGCAACTATCAAACAATTTGTCAAAGAATTCAACTGCATCCGCTGTGTTTCTTACAGTGCTGCTAACCAGGCTTCTATCTGCTTGATGACCTACAAAAAAAACAAAATTATTGTTAGGACTAATACAGCAATAAAAACTGTAGTGTTTTATTGTTGCTGCTTAACTGCAAAAAACATTTACTATTACTTTTACACCTGAAACTTAAAGGATTTTTTTTGTCCAAAATTGTTCAATATTGATTGCTTGTATTGACCGCGGACTAGATAAGACGTGTGTTTGTTATCGCCAAAATTGTATAAAAAGTGTATTCAAATCTAACACTAATTTGTAAACAAAGTACTATCTAATTTGGTGTGAACAATTCAGTTTAAATTTTGATTTTAAAATAATAAGTGAGCGTCTCTGCGCTAGTTAGCGAGCGGGACGCCACCTCCTCAACCCCGCGGGACGAGATCGGTTGCTATTTTTGACTCGCTCGCACAGAGACCCTGCGTTTGGTGAACAATAAAATTATATTAATACTATATTTATGTGAGGAATTCTTGTCGGCCGGGCACCTATTGTGACAATACGAAAGGAAGGTAATCGGATATTAAACTAAACTTTATATAGCATAGCGATATAGTCGTCCTGCGCCAAACAATTTTACGATACAACTTATCGTGGAACTACATCTTACTGTTTGCTTGCTCTTAGCAATGCCAAAAGTACAACGTTCACCCCCGAAAGCCTCTGCCAGTGGTAAGCAGAGGGTAATGTCATCACCCGACATACCCTCTATCGACGCCGAGACAATCATACCATCCCGTAATAAGCGTATACGGCCTGATTTCTCGCCTGATCAACATCCTGACTGTTTCACCGAATTCGAGGAGAAAATTATGGGCCTACTAAATACGTGGAAGAGTGACCAAAATGCTTTATTAAATAAATTGTTGTCAGATGTCACAGACATTAAGAAGCAGAACAGAGAGATACAAAAGTCTAATACAGAAATAGAGAAATCCATTGAGTTCTTGAACCACTCGTTTGAAGTGGTTAAAAAATCAGTGGAATCATTAGAGAATGAATGTAGGGAGCAGAGAGCATACATCGTCGAGTTGGAAAGGAAAATCACTGATCTCCAACAAAATTCACGCCCTTCTACTTTCGAAATACGAAATATACCGTATGCTGAGAAGGAGACTACAGAAGACCTATCGTCTATCGTCTTGAAAACTTGTAATGCTCTTCAACTCTCTGTGAAGGACACTGACCTAAGGGACGTCTACCGTATGCCAGGAAAAAAAGAGTCCAACAGACCGATAGTGGCCGAAACAATTAACGTTTATATGAAGAAGCAAATATTAGATGCAAATCGCAAGTTTAATCAATCGCGCTCTCGGGCGGATCAGCTAAACACAACCACTATAGGTATTAAAGGAGATCCTAGGCCTATCTATGTAGCTGACCATTTGCCTGGTAGCCTACGTCAGTTGTTTTTTGAAAGCCGACAATTTGCACGCTTGCACGGCTACAAGTTCTGTTGGACGCAAAATAATAAAATTTTTCTTCGTCGTGGTGTAGGCATCTCAGCTATATGCATCACTTCTATGGCTGCCCTTAATAACCTTGCTCAAAGATGTTAACTTTTATTTACGTTTGTCAAGGATGATTTTGTTTACTTTTCTTTTCACTTTATTATTTGATATATTACATGTAATGAATTATACACTCACACATACAAACACTCATTTAAAACATATACAAAATAATACGTCGCTATTAATCTACATGGGATATACCAAATACAGCCATAACTATTTGTCTAAAGTAAGTTGTATTAAGTTGGATTACCTTCTTACTACTACACACGGTAATGAACCGCACTTATTTATACATTCCTCGGTTCTTTGCATTTATTTTCTGAAAGGGTATGTCGAAACAACTGCACAACTTTGTCTCATATGTATTACTTTTTTCATACTCATTGTTTGCTCGGATTTAATAGAATTATTTTTAAATAAAGTGTCTTCTTACAGTTCACGGACTGCACTAATAAAGTGTACATTTTGCTTTGCGTTCTTACCTTTTAACAATGTTTGATTCAACTGCAGTAGATGCTGTCTTTACAGATCTAGATTCCTATGGCTGTGCTAATTCCCTTATATGTAAACCACAACAATGCTCACTTTACATTGGAGACGGTAAACATTTAATAAATATATTACATGTGAACATACGCAGTATTAGTAAGAACTTTGACCATTTACATATACTGTTACAAACCTTAAATATTATGCCGGATGTGATAGTTTTGTCTGAGTGTTGGCTTAATAAATGTTACAATACTCCGTCACTAGAAGGCTACATCGTACACTGCACGGACAGGAATAGCAACCAAAACGAAGGCGTTGTATTGTACATTAAAGCACACTTAGATCATAATGTAGAGGAACCACACATAAATGATTCGAATTGTCTTATCACAAAGCTGCCTCTTAATGACATTGTGATAATCTCAGTCTATCGCTCACCATCCTGCCGACAGCTTGATGACTT